CCACCCGCCTGGTCTCTGTACCGACGGAGCGATGCCGACGAAGGAGCACGACGAATCGGGAAAGAATGGCCTTTTCCCAGAAGCGCCTGACTGATCCGCTGCTGCTCAGCCGCAGCAAGCGTGGAGCCGTATCCCGTCCGTTCCGCTCTCCACTGCCCTTCTTCCTCCGATACCTTTTCAGTTAGCACGTTTCAAAAGCATCGTCTTCCTCCTTTGGGCGGCTGCAACCCCCCGCCATCTCCGGTGCCGAGGGGGGCCACATCAGCACAACCGTATCACCTTGATAGATGGAAAGATAAGAAACGCAGCGAGCAGTTGACGCGGAGAGACGAAAAAGACGCGCGTTAGAGGTTGACATGGGCAACGTGTCGCGGGATCAACCGTCATCTAAAGAAAACCCGTCAGAGTCCTATTCAGGACCGGCAAGCGTTGGTCCGAGCGAGCCGGGGAAGCAAGGCGCAACGTTTCAGAAATCGACGCACCGAGATACATGTTTCATCCGTCAACGCCAATCTTGTGACAATGGTTGACGTGCCTCTGTCTACATTGAGAGGCCCACGGTCTGTCATGTTCTTGATGAGCTTGCCATCACTCGGACTCGGTTGATTATCGCCGAATTAATCGAGAGGCTGCAGACGAGCTGGCCCGTCGCTCATGCACTTGGAATCATGGAACGCCATCTGTGTGAGCATTTCAAATCCCTCTCTTCTGATTGTACCGTTGATGTGCGGACTACGAGACAAAAAAGGGTCGTGGAGGGGTGGGAAAAGGGGCTGTGACACTCATCTGCTCCTATCAACGATACGGCCATCTCCCGTTGAAGTGATCAGCACAACCATCCGAACCACTTGGTCGAGGACAACGGCGTGAGCCAGCAACAGCGAGGAGGCAGACAACCCGATCGAAGATGGCTTGCATCCCTGCCGAGACCTGCTGTAGCGCTTGCAGGTAGAGCTACCACCGCAGAGAAGTCTCCACTCGAGGCTACGGCATACAGAGTACGGGCCACCGTCACGAGATCGCTGCCTGTCCGAGCTTAACAGAGTCGACGGCCAATCACAAAAAACCCTATGACCCCTTCATCCAGAGCGTACTTGGCGGCATCAAATGTCATTGGACGAATGCCTTGTTATATCGCAGGATTTTCGGTAGTGGATGCGTGCAGAAACACGCTCCACTCTGCGATCGACATCAATCCCAGGAGAGACCCGATGCCCACACGGCGCCTCCGCACAATCTAGGCTCACAGCGTCGCGGTGGTGCAACCATAAGCCAAATATGCACATTGATGGCCAAGAAAAAAGGGCTGTAAGGCAAAGGAAAAGCAACGTGCTGAAGAAGATGCTGTGTGCGCCAACCTCCTGAGGAAGGAATAGGCTGTCGTTTGCACTACAGAAGCCATCATTGGAATGCCGAGGCCGTTCCACTGCGCGTGAGAAATGGTCGATGGAACATTCTTCAGTAACTGTTGTGGGCTGCATTTTAGCCGGTAGGCATGACCATCATCATCCTTTTCACAAACCCCTTGATTGACCATGTGGCATCCTACCCTGTTCTATCGGCGAATTTTCCATGGGCATTTGGTCTCAAGAAGTGAGGTCTGGATGCTTACCGTCTTTGTTAAGGCGCGTACCTTGGCACCGCGTGAACCTTAATGCTGACAGGCACGCCACTTTGGCCGTTAACGGCGCACGGAGAAGCCGTTAGCGCCCTGTCAGTTCGGCTGGTAGCGAGGAGTCCTATTAGCGGACAGACATGCTGCAACTTCGGTAGGGCTGGTGGAAGCCGCGGTAGCAGCCGTTACATCGCCTCACGGGCCTGCCGTCACTCGACGTCTTGTTGAACCGCGGAAGCCAGCCAAGGGGGGGGTGACGTGGGGACCGCGTGCAGCACTGAGGAAATCCGCCATTATTGTCAACGGCCGTCGCCGAATCCAGGCTAAAGTCTTTCGGTATGGTCCGTGGGTAATGCCTAGATTCGGGCACAGGCAACGTGCATCTGGATGGTGTACCGGCCAAAAACCGTGTGGCTCTCAGAATGCGGAGCCAACGCCACCACGCCGCTTAGCACTGGCTTAGCAGTCCTGCAAACATTCCTTTCGAAGCATTCGTGTGCGGTGCAACACGGGCGCAAGTCTATCGCGGGGCGGGCCAGTCCGAGTGACCTTGTGAGAATCGCCACATTGGAGGTAGTTGAGACGTCTCGATGTCGTGCGGCGTGGCTGGTGGTGTTCATGCTGCGCTGGCCCGCGATTTGGGCTAGCGTGGTGAATTGCGCAAGGTTGTCTCGTCGCCCTCGTCAGTGTGGAATCGCCGTCTCCCTGCCGCTGTCAAGATCAAGACGAGGCAAACGCCGTCGTCATGCGCTCCATGATTGCCTGAAAAATCTGGGTCAGGCTCTCCACCCCGTGGTCAGGTACGCGCCGCTTGGCGCTGGCTCATCTTTGCTCAGGGAATCAGGCAGCGACAATGGCGCATCGTGCCAACGGCATCGGCGTTGGACCAAGTCGATAATTGCGCGCAGTGGCTTCGAAGGTGGTTGTCAAGCGACGGCGGGCCATTCTCGGCGCCTTTTGGCTCTCCTGCGGATCTGTACGACAAGTCGGCACGCCAATCCGTGTCTTTCTTGAATATTCAGGGTCCGCATATGCCCCGCCGAAGCGATCAGGTTGCGAACGATGCTGCGGTAATTGCTTTTCCCGCCTTCCGCACGTAGCGCGGAGGGCGCACGCCCCTCGAAGCCAGCAACATGGCGCGCCGTGGTTCTTTTTAGTCGGACGCACAAATGCAGTTTCTTCCTGATTTTGTCGTCGTGCCTCATACCCTGGGCGCGATGCAAGGAATGGATCGTCAAAAGGAAAGCCAGAATCGCAAGAGCCCCGCCGGTGCGACCGTGGCATCTGCTCCTCGTGGTTGGTGATTGATCCGATGTAGTGCTCACTGGCTTGACCGGTCCCATGCCAAACGTGCGTCGTTATCGTGATCTGCTCTGGCATCTGATCCTCATGATTTGCCAGCCGGTCGTCTGAGCGGTCTGCTAGGGTGGGCTGCCCCTACAAATGGCAGCCCTGAAGGAAGAGCGGCGGATGGGACTCGTGTCCGGGTCGGGAGCGTTTTTGCCTATAATCTTGCCCTCCCTGGCGCTTGGCCACTCTGGCGGTAAGAAGGCGTTTGCCTCAAGGCCCGCACGAGCAGCGTTGCGCGATTGTGCCGACGCACGAGACAATGACCTGCAGCAGGCGGCTGGCATCGGAGGCTTTCAGCTGGGGACGGTCAGCCAGCAATCTGCAACGGACGTCAGCGAGATCATCTGCCACGATGCGGCTGGCCTTGGGCGCGAGATGCGCCGGAAATCGAGAGCCAGTCGCGTCGGGGCGAGTGGCCGTGGATTGTCGACGGGGCCGCCAGATGCGGCGGCGGCGGCATTGGTTCGACGGCGTCGCGATATGGCGCCTGCCGAACAAGCTCTGGCGTGCCGCTGGTCAGCTAGCCGGCTCTGGGTCGAGGGCGGGCCGTGGCAACGCAATTGGCGACGTGGTGTTGCACGGCGAGGCGGGCAGGGACCGGGGCCTGAGCGGGCTGTGAACGTGCTCGGCGAAGGCTGTGGATGGCGGCGCGGGTGGCACAAAGACATTCGCGCACTGCAGGCGGCGGCCAAAGTAGTAAGGCTCTCGCGCTGCGATCATGCGCTGGAGCTGGATCTGGGGCGTTGTGCCGTCAGCATGCGGGCCGGGAGCATGGCGTGTTGCCGGGAGATTGACACGAGGGGCTTTGGGCTAAGACGGTGGCAGTTGACTCGCAGCGCGCTGATCATCCCCGCGCCGGCAGCCGGTGCGCCTCGTCTGCAGCCCGTCACGTTTCCACGCGGTGGACCGGCCGTCGCGAGCAAAGTCATCCGACACCCGAGGCCCCGGCGAGAGGCTCCACGGCGATCAAACCCGCAGCAGCGCCCGCCCGCGGCTGGCACGCGCGAGAATAGCCGAGCGAGCGAGCGAGCGAGCGAGCGAGCGGTGCGACTCGGGCATTATTATTGTTCGATAGCGGCGCGGGCGACGAGCTGGCAGCGACGGCGGGCGCAGGCGGCTCAGGGCGTGGCGGCTCAGCAGGGCGTGGCGGCGTGGCGGCAGGGCGGCAGGGCGGCAGGGCGGCATGGTGGCATGCAACGGTGACGCGCGGGGGTGGTGTCGCAGCGGCGGAGGTGGACGGGTGGACATGGGAAGCGGAGAGTTGAGCCGCCTGTTCGCGGCGGCTTGGCTTGGCCTAGCTTGGCCTAGTGCCGACTCTGCGGCAGGGGCGGCGGGCACCTTCGCTTCGCCGCGCAGCAGTTTCAGAGTGCCAGCATGGCCGACTCCTCGTCGCGGCTGGCAGCCGACTCCGTCGACTATTCTCCGAGTGCCCGATCGAGCAGCCTCCTGAAACGGCATCCGTTTCGGGGCGCTCCCAAGCGGCGAGTGCACGATGCCCGGCCAGCGCGCCAGTGCCGGCCGTCTGCCGGCCAAGCTTCTGCCCTATGGGCGTGCGCGCAGCGCTCGGCTTCTGCTACAGTGGAGAGAGGCAGCGCGCCGTTCCAGAATGCTGCAGCCAAGGCGCCTGTCCGTCTGATGGCCATCGTGGGCGACGCAGGCGGAGCGATCACTCTGGCCGCGCCATATACTTACAGCCGCCGCCCTGCCTGCCTTCCCCTACCTTGGCCCTGTCACTCTTTTGGCTCCCTCCGCACCCTCGCTCGTTTTCCGGTTTCCTCCTGGAGCACTGCTACCCGCTCGCGCCGGCTGCGACCACGGTACCTTGCTCTGTACATTCCTTTGATCGCCACGTTCTACAGCAGCGCAGAGCCCAAGTCTAGTGAGCCCTCCCTTGCGTCTGCGGCTCGTCGGCGTCACCGTCTCCAGCCAGGCGCCAGGCGTGCCGCCTGCACGGCTCCCTGGAAGGGTCCGGCAGTCATCATGCAACCCAGCGTGCTAACTCGTTGCGCGCCCAGCCTAGACGGGAGCGTTAAAAATGGAATTCAATGCACAACCCCAGTACGTCGCCCACCCCACGCCGCCAACACCACTGACGTTGTATAAAGATATCGTCCATCGCTTGGTGCGCCCGATATTTTCGTCCAGGATCCCTCGCGCCCCGGCCCGCAGATGATGTATTCGTATGGCAATGCTTCCGTGCAACCGCAACCGCAATCCACCCACACCTCGGCCTCCTTTCAGCCAGCCAGCACGTGGCCGCTGCCGCCGCCGGACCTCATGTCCAAGCCCCAGCCGCCCGCCTCCGTGCCCGCCCACCAGCCGCAGAAGTACCACTACCACCAGGCCTCCGAGTGCTACCCTGCCCCCGCCCACCAAGACACGGGTACGTCGCCCGCCAGCACGCTGATATTAATCCTGACGGCCTCCGCAGAATCATGGTGTCAAAAGGCGTGCGAGATGATGGACTATCCTAACATGGATCCAGACATGCCCGACTTCAGCCACCCCTTCATGGCCCACGACGAGGACTCGCCCATCATTGACCTCAGGCAGAACCCCACCATGCGCCAGGACCCCAACACCACCTACCTGCACAACCCGTCCCAGCGCTTCTCGGGCGCCTCCTTCTCCACCACGAGCACCGGCACCGGCTTCATGCCCGACGTTTCCACGTACGATGACTTTTCGTCCGAGACCGACACCCACTCGTACACAGCGTCTGACTATGACAGCTGGGCCTCGATGGATCCGCCAAACAACCTCCTGTCGCCCCTGACCTCCCCGCAGCGCCACGATCCCGTGCGGACCGTCAGCCGCGGCGGCGCCTCGCCCGGCCCTCACCCCCACCAGCACCCGGCCGTCCGCTCCTCGCCCTACACCCTGGACAGCGACCGCGCCAAGAGATGGTCCACCGGCATGACCGGCGCCCCCACCTCCACCCCGGCTCTCGCCGTCCATCAGGTCCAGGACCGCTTCGCCAACTACGGCCAGCGCCTGAATCCGCATCCCCAGCAGTCCATGCCCGGCTTCGCCCCGAGCACCATGAGCATGCACCGCCCGCAGTCCCAATACGTGCTTTCCTCGCAGCCGCATCCGCTGCCTTCGACTCAGGGGCCTCTGTTCTCCCCTCCCCACCAGCGCTACCAATTGGAGGCCCCCCGCCCCGTCCCGTCCCAGGGCATGTATGGCCTGCTCCAGAGCAATGACCACCAGCACCACGGCTGCTCCGCCCACTTCGCCGACTTCTCCGAGCAGCCCAATCTGTACGCATCCCTGCAGCAGGATCCCTGCGACCCCCCGGAGTCGGACTTTCATCCGGCGGATCCCGACATGATGCCCAAGGAGCAGGAATTGCGCTTCGAGGGCGATCTCTACACGCCCCGCTGGGTCCGTGGCCACGGCAACAAGCGCGAGGGCTGGTGTGGACTGTGCAAGCCGGGCAGGTGGCTCGTGCTGAAGAATAGCGCTTATTGGTACGACAAGTCGTTCACGCATGGCGTCAGTGCGAACACGGGCGCCGCCTTCCAGGGTCCGCAGGATACTCGTCGCACAGAGGGCAACTTGGACGTGTGGGAAGGCTTGTGCGGCAGCTGCGGCGACTGGGTAGCGCTTGTCAGCAGCAAGAAGAAAGGCACCACCTGGTTCAGGCACGCTTACAAGGTAAGGGATCCTGCCCATGTCCTCTGGCAACGACCCCGGTATCCAGCCCTTTAATACCCACCATCGAGCTCTACCCCCTTTACGCTCCGTGTCTACGCCTCCTATTGCCACTGCGGATCAACAGTCTGCTGCAGTCTTGAATTGTTCACTGATACGTTTCCCGTAGTGTCACACTCATCCCAAGGCAAAAGATGGTCCCAAGCGTCGCCGCGAAACGTCCTCTCAGCAGACGGCTCGCAATACCAACAGCAATCGGCCTTCGACTGCCATCTCGCTATCGTCATCGTCGCGCCCCAACAGCAGCAGTCACCCCCAGCAGGCCACTCCGTCGATCAAGCCGGAGCAGTCCGTTGGCGACTCGGCGGCATACGGCGTCTCGACGCCCGCCAGTGACTCGACGCCTTCCCCCCGGGGTGGGCGTGGGCCAATGCTGTCGCAACAACAGCCAATGCATCAGCAACCGCATCAAACGCCGCAGCATTCATACATGAACCATCTAGTCCATGTTCCAGGGCCGCACCACCAGCAACACGACAGCGTTGTCAGCAGCTCGATAAAAGGCTTTGGAGCGGGCAACTGGGCTGGCATGATCTGACCATGATGTAGATGTCTTTCGTCGACGGCCTCAAGCTGTTTGTAAGGTGTCGTGTTTATGTTGCCGTGTAGGATGAAGAACACTGTTCTTACTTCTATTTGTGGGTGGTCCTTTACTTCAGTTTCCCTCCTTGTCCTGTTCCATTCTTATCCGATACCCCTTCGATGTCGCGATAAATGGGTGGCATGGCGGTCTTTTACATATATCCCTTTTTTTCCCCCCCGAGTTATGGCGCTTGGATGAGTTCTGGTGGGACATGCATTCATCTGGATTTAGGCATTGGCTTGTTTCTGTATCTCACGTTTTTGGTTTCTATCTCTGTTTGCTGTGCTGCTGTTCTTTCCCGACTGTCGCTATCGAAGTCATTTTCCAAGGGTATCATCTTTATTTGGACTTCCTCTAATCACGAAGTTACGACAGTAGGTAGTAGCTAGGTAGAGGATTGCATAGCTCCGGCGTGTTTTCGGCACTTGAGAGCTTTGTTTAGCACATGCTTTGACGTGTGTAGGCGAGAAGCGTCAAAAAGGGAATATCAGCGGTGTTTTTGTCATGTTCCGTCTACGCGTCATTGCTCAATTCTTCAGTCCGGTTGGACGCCACCAAGGCTGCCTGCAGCAATCTCGAAATACAGACAGGAGGCCAAAGCCTCGCTTCGATGCTGAAAAGCGTCTACAACACGGACCAAACTGATCCAATGACGATTCTCCGCCGGTGAAGAGGCAGCCTTCTCGTCGGGACTGGCACACCCGACACCGCATTGATGGGGTTCTCTTAAGATCTGCCCATAGCTATAACAAGGCCGGGCTGAGACAGGCTAACGCCACAACGGAGCTCTTTCCAACTCCTCTGTTCGAGGAGCGACTCCCTAGTCCCGCCTTTCTCCAACCCCCCACTCACCCACCCACCCGCACAGCCTCCCTGACCGGGGCGGTGCGAGTAATGCTGTCCGTGCCGCCGGCTGTCACCGTCGTCCAGCTCAGCCACAATTGCCCTTATTCATCCCAGCTCCACTGTGGTGGAAGAACCCACTCCAACCCGGTCCGCCTCCACCCATCCACCTTCTACGTCCAGTAAGAGCATCCGCGCGCGCGTACCCAGCATGCGGGTACCGGGGAGTAGGCCTGGCGGGGCTTGCGCCGGACCTGCACAGGTACGATACTTGCGGCGTCATTGTCTGACGATCAGCACCCGTTCCCGCGCGCCCATCGCCACCCCCGGTCGCCGTCTCCACCAATGCTCCGTGCTATATACTAAGGTACAGAACACGTCGTTTTTTGCTCCTTCTTCTCGGTCGTGATCAAGGATGGCCTGTACTGACTCGTACCCCTTGTTACAGGCGGGTATTGAAGCCTTTTTGGATTGTCCATCCGTCTCAGGCGCCTCATCAGGGCCACGCATGTAACGACACATGCTTATTCCGTCGGATTTGACGAGTCGTGCAGCCGCCACCCTCGTCATCTTCTCAGTCCAACTCCCCTGGTTTCTGATGTGCAGATTCTCATTCCCGACCCGGCCAGCTTCACCCGGGATGGACGCGAAACGGCCGAGAGGCTGGGTCCGAAGACCGCCTGCGTCACACCCCTTTCTCTGGAGCTTGCCGGGCGGTGGTAAAGGGCCAACTTTAGCAACAATATCAACTCCCTATTCTTGGACACGAAGTTGAATGGGGGCATCTCGTCTACTGATTCTGAACGCAGTAACCCCAACACCAATACGCCTATCCCATCTTCATCCGAACGGTTAGTTCCAGCACCGTCGGTTTCATCCCTGTGTCCCGTACTCCTACCCGTCAAAACCATGGGTTGTGGGTTCCGACGTACGCCGCTCCGGCGTTCGCGCAAAAGCCGAGGGCCACCAATGTTGCGTCTCTACGTTGCTCGGTTTTGGATCCGCCATGGTCGATGCCTACCGGTGCCACGTGCTAGCAATAGAGTGATCCGGCCCTTGATGGGCTCTATACAAAGCGTAGTATGTATAGAAGGGAATCGCCTAAACCTAAACTGGTAATTTTTAATCAAGCAGTATATTCCATCCCCAACACCCCGAACAGAACAGTCCATGACAAATTCTGCAGCAGCAAGAGCCGAGACGTCGCAAACACCACAACGTGCTAGGGTTTTAGCTTGTAGGTTGCAGTGTATGGCCTTTAAGCGTCTCGATGCCTTGAGAGTATGCCTGCTTAGGCAGACGAATCCTTTGGATGGTAAGGGAGCATAACCCCGGTACTTTCGATACTATTACTAGGCGTGCGAAATACATGACGCTTATTTCCAATCTATCCTCCTTTGTTACCTCAACCATATCTACCCTGCAGGGATTGCAAGGCACATAGCCGGGTCTCGTATAACCAAGCGGCTCTCCGGCCAATCAGGTTTTTTTCTGGACTGCATGGTTGAGGTTTGGAGCGGATAAGAAAACCAATGTGCGGGGGAAAAAAGGGAGGGAAAAAAATTCGACCTACCACGTAAAGGACCTAAATTCTCCTTCTCTTTAGGAGACCAGAAAAAAATCTAAAAATATAAGTCTTAATAAAATGCCTCAAGCCCTTGCCCTATTCAGTGCGATCTAGCGCTAAACTTGTGACTGAATTAACAACGAAGCTTTGGGGCATACTTGATTCAGGCCCGGATCGGCTCTTCTTCTAGTACTCTACAACGGTATATGCTTTAAACTGTTACTTACTAAAACCTCAAATTGTCGGGTAGTAGCAGTCGTGTGTTTCCACTTTCGGCCCTCCGCTTACTGGCTCGAGTGGTGGCGTGCCTGCCGACGCGTAGCTGGGGTGTTACGTTCGTCGTTGTCAGCCGGAGAAGATTAGGATTCCATATTAGGCTTAGCGTTAGCTAATTCTACTCTTTAATTGGCTGACTAGAAAAGTCGTCGGGTAATCTCGCATTAGTAATATAATTTTCCGCCGCCAATCCCTATCCCGCCACCTACCTAGTCCAACACAAGGACTTAGGGCGAAGAATGGCTCATACAGGGCGGAAAAACAGCTCACTCAACCGCCTCCGCCAGCAAGCGGCGCCAACTTTCCGACAAAAGAGTCAACAAGGTCGACAAAAATTTCAGCACCAACGCCAGGGCGTTCACCCCAAACCCACGGTTCAAGTTCACGCAGCTTGGAATCATGAGGGTTGCGAGTCAACGAAACGGTTGGGCCTCATTGAACATACAATATGCGAAGAGATGGACCCCTACAGAAGGGATATTTAAGAGTCTCGAATCGCAATCCATCTTTTGCCTACACAGCTCCGAGGAAAGACGAAGAAGCCCTTCGGGAGGTAGGCAGCCGCCATGAGACTTTCCATTTTCCTCTCGGGCCTCTGTGCCCTCCTCGCCACGGCTTCCCCAGTCCAGCGCAACATAGCGCGGGTGCAGGGCGAGACCTACACTCCCCACCCGGAAGATCGCTGGCCCAGCCCCTTCCCCGGGCTCCCTACTCATCCCTCTGATGCCAAAACTCCGTCTTCCGAGTCCGCTCTCTCTACTCCGGCTCCCACGCCTCATGTCGCCAGGATGTTGATACCTGATTATTACTGGCATGCTCCATCTCCCACCTTCGAGAAGCGCATCGCCCCCGGAGTTCCCACCCTTCAGAGTCTCCAGAAGGACATCAGGAACAGCATCGCAAACGCGACCGCCCCGACTCCCACCCCGGCCTCGAACGCAGGCGGCGACAACAACAACAACAACGACGGCAGCAACACCGACAAGGGCAACACCGACACCACCACCACCACCACCGGCAACAACAACAACAACCCCGCCTCCACCCCCACCCCCAACCCCGCCTCCCGCCAATCCAAGCACCCCAACGGCCAGCACCCCCAGCAGCCCGCCCCGCCCACCCCCGAGCAGAGCGGCGGCAGCACCGTGGCGGGGTCCACCATCGCCGCGTGCCGCATCACCGACAGCACCGTGGTCAACAGCACGCTGGCCAACTGCACGCTGTCGGACGCGACCGTGGTGGGCGCGACGCTGGCCAACAGCAGCGTCGGCGACGGCGCGACCGTGTCGGGCGGCGTCGTCGTGGACGCCAAGATTGCGGGGAAGTCGTCAGCATCTCCTAACAACGGCAGCGGCGGCAACGGTGGCGATGGCAATGGCAACGGTAATGGCGGTAATGGTAATGGAAATGGAAATGGTAATGGCAACAGCTACGGCGGCAGCAACAACAACATCGACGAGTCGAGCAACGTGTCGAACAGCACCGTGGACCGCAGCAGCGTGCTGGACGGCAGCGTCGTGGCCGACTCGACGCTCGAGCAGACGCAGGTGCGCGACGCGAGCACCGTGGGCAACTCGGCGCTGCAGGGGAGCGAGGTGCGGCAGGGCAGCACCGTGGTCGACAGCCGCATCGCCGACACGTACATCGCGGCGGACAACAACAACAACAACGGCAACGGCGGCGGCGGCCAGAGCGGCCAGAGCGGTGGGCCCGTCACGACGGCGCTTTCGAAGAGGGGTTGGTACGACGACGACGACATGTTTGGGTGGTCGCCGCCTCTCGTGAAGGGGAACCCCGGCACGGCGCTTGCGAAGAGGGGGGATGGCACGGCGCTTTCGAAGAGGGGGGATGGCAAGGCGAATCCGTGGCTGTGGCTCTGTGTGCCCTTTATGATTTTTTGTTCGATCGGTGGCGCGATAGGGCGTACTGTTGATCAAAACAGTGAAGATCCCTTGGAACATTAGGGAAGGAACACTTCTACATACCACGAGCAAAGCCCTCGTCATCGCAAAAAGCATATAAAAACCCCAAAAAAAAATTAAAAATGACATTTTGTCTCTCGCTTCTTCCTCTGACCTTTTTTTTTTTTTTTTAGTATTGCTTCCCCCTGTGTATGTGTGTGTGTGAGATGAAAAACAACCCTTCTACTACAGTTCCTTCTTGCCCTCCTTTGCCAATGCACCGCTGGACGCCGCGGCGGCGGCGGCGGCGGCTTCCAGCTTCGCCTTCTCCTTCTGCTTCTTCTCGCGCCTGTTGATGGCCGCCTCGGCGCCGATGCCGCCAAAGACCAGCCCGACGCCCAGCCACTGCATGCCTTGGATGCTGTGGCCGAACCAGACGACCGAAAGCACCATCGTCAACATCTTGCGCGTGACGGTGACAGTGACCAGCAAGAGCGATGAGAAGTGCGACAAAGTGTAGACTGCAACAACGAAAAGAACTTGGTCAGTACGAGAGGAAGAAAAAAAAAACCTCCCCCCAAGCCCTGCCAAATGGGCATGTGGAACGGAGGGAGGGGATTTTGATGAGAGAGAGAGAGAGAGAGAGAGAGGAGAACTCACAAATAAACACTTGACCCACGGCCCCGCACGCGGCGAACGAGAGCACATCCCAGCCCACCTGCGGGTAGCGCGTCACGAAGCCCAGCGCCTCCTGCAGCTCGCCGCCGTCGGCCGCCGACAGGCCCACGAAGGCGCCGACGGGGGTCTGGGCGACGTACGGCGAGAGCAGCAGGTAGGCGGCGGTCAGGGCCGTCGCCATGATGTTCTGGGCGCACATCATCTGCGGGCCGGAAAAGGGCCTGAAGGCGGTGAAGATGTGGTCCTGGGTCGAGTTGGTGAGGCCGTCGAACAGCAGGTTGATGCCGAGCAGCAGCAGGCCCCACGTCGTGTTGTCGCCGACGGACGAGCTGCTGTTGTGCCTGCCCGCCTTCTTGGCCGTCGACGGGTGGTGCAGGGTGAAGACGGCGACGCCCAGCGTGACCAGCGCGACGACGGCGTACTTGTACAGCGGGTAGCGCTTGCGGAAGACGGTCAGGTGCAGGAACATGACGGGCAGCAGCTTGCAGCTCTTGGCCAGGATGAAGGTCACGTAGTCGATGTACTTGAGGCTGGCGTAGCCGAACGGCGACGCCAGCGACGACGTCACGGCCACCAGCGCCAGCGGGAAGAAGATGCGGCGCGACGGGAAGATGGCCGGGATGGGCCCGCCCTTGGGCTTGGACGAGAGCAGGTACACGTAGCCCGTCAGCGCCGCGAACGCCGACTGCACCGTGTTCAGGAAGACCGAGTACGTGAAGGTTTCGGGCGCTGCGGGCGGGCCGTAGCGCGTCGTGGTGATGCGCTCCTGGAGGAGCGCCCAGGACAGGCTGGTGGTGGGCATCTCAGACGTCAGCGCTGCTGGGCTGTAACATGGCCTGACCTGACCCACGGTGGTCCTTACAATGAAGCGTATATGCCGGCGACGCAGACGACCAGCTCGGCCACGCCGGCTTGCTTCTGCGCCGGCGCGGGTGCCGGGCTCGGCTTTGCGCTGCCATTTGCTAGGCTGCCGTTCGCATGCTTTGCGTCGTGCGGGGCGGCGGCGCCATTGCTTGCGGGCTGCGCGGACTTGTTACGCGCCATGTCGCGTGTCTATTTGCAGGGGCTGCAGCGGAGGTGTGACGATCGGAAACGTGTGCGTTGCGTGAGGGCTGTGGTCGCAGCCAAGGATGCGCGCGCGCCCTTTCTCGGATCCGGTGGGGCGGGCACAAGAGCGGCAGGGCGAGTGTCGAACTGGACGTAAGGAGCGTGAGGCGGGATGGGATGGGCTAGCGGACAGTTGTCGTCATGGCGTTGGGAAACGAGAGGAGGGCGCGTTAAAAAGCATGGCTCTAATTGCAAGTGGATGTCGATAGGTGGCATCAAGGTCCCTGGCCTAGCTGGCCAAGCTTCTGCCGATCTCCGCGCCGTCTTCAGCCGCAACGCCCGCAACGCCCGCAACGCCCCACCAACAGCCCGGAGCTTAATTAAAATAGACTGCATGCCTCAGGCAACCTCTGACCTCATCACACCCGCCCCTCAGCCCCGACGTCAGCACCGTCCAACGCCAGCTTCCATCTACCCCGTTACATTGAAACCGCCCCTGGCCCCGTCGTTCGGATGCTGGTCGCCAGAAGACACCGTGCACCTTCTGCTTTTGGAATTCCGTCGTACTTCCGTTTTGGGAAATCCTGTGCCACTGATTCTTTGTGCATCGACGACTCGAGGACCAAGTGATGAATATTTGTATCCAGCCATGTCCTAGATACATGCTGGAATTATCAATACTATCCGTCCAATTCCAATCATCCCTTTCAAGCTCATGTAACTCATGGACAGTATTGTACCAAGTCCAACCTCCTGATACCCAACCCGTCGGAACAAGTTAGATGCATCTTGTGAAGGTTAGTCCGCGTGACTAGCGGCTTGCTGTCTCATTCATCATCGTCAGAACGCAGCCATGCCATGTCAGCCTCCGAACAGCGCCTCTTCTGCTTGTTGGTGCTACTGCCTGCAACGCCAACAGCTGGACCATCGCCATTTCCAGCAACATTGCCATTGGCGCCACCACTTCCATCTCCAACTTCAGCGCGAGCTCCTCCGTCGCCGCTAGCACGACCCATGTCCTCTTCATCCTTCTTGATCTCCGCCATCTTCGTCTTGAAGAGGTACCACAGTGGGGAGAAGTCCCACTTCTTGTCATTGGGATCGATCCTGTAGCCCCGTTCCCCGAGTAACCACATCTTGGTACGCTTGCACTCAGTACGCATCGATGGCCTGCTGGAGGAGGAGCCCGTAAGCTCCCTCCTTGCTGCGAGGTCACGGGCCTCTGTCTCAAGACCACGGAGCATAAGAACGTGAGCGGTATCGTTGACTGTCGAATGGGACAAACGTTTGGATCAGCACTATGCTCGCCCTTTTTGATAGTATTGGCCAGAACAGCGCTTACCGAACAGCTGGACTCCATTACCAGCATCGATAGGCGGCATCACCTGGAGACAGGCACCAACAGCCTCTTTCAGTGACTTGACCTCGCGGAAAGTCCAACCCACGGCGCCAATAACAACGTAGCGAGGCTCGAACCTTGGCATCTCGTCGTTCGTGTCGTCATTCGTACCTACTCCCTTCACGTCAAAGTCGCTGTCTTCATCGCTGATGATAATCACATCAACTTCCTGTGCAATCTTACCGTGCTCAGCATTACCTAGGCCGCTTTCGTCGTTCTTCTCGATAACACAATCATGCTTGCGCTTAATGGCGGCCCTTTCGGCAGAACTGTTGTAGCTGTCCTAGTGGTAGTGAGTGTTCGGGCTGTTTGGGGGAAGCTGGACAGTACCGACCGCAGAGGTCTTGGGGACGAATGCCATTGGGATGACTCCGCCGCTCTCATCAACTGTGTCCTTGCAGATGCGCTCATCGCCGTTCTTGGTAGGTCCAACGTCACCAGAACCGGCATCCGAATGGTAACGAGCAGGGGCGTACGGCTGGATACCCTCTGAGGATAGATGCTCAAGAGTGGTCGCTTCCTTGTTGGCATCACGGACGTACGCGGGAACCTCCGTAGTCTGGGAGACGACCATTTTCGCTTGCAGGCGATAGGCGCTGATGGCTCCAGCAACGTCAGCGTCGGTAACAATGAACGGTCCGGCGCCGCCCTGAGGCAAATTGTTACGGTGTTGGGGGCCGAGGTAGTTGCTGAACCCATCATCCGTCATGCCTCCGGAGGGCGTTGCGATCTTTTTGTCTTCAGCAAACGCCATAGCGCCCAACGCCGTGTTATTCTGGCCGATGTTACCTTGCACCATACCATTCTGCGCGAAGGCGTGCTGGTTGAGTCGCGCATTATCGAAGGTGGTGTTGCTGTTGTTCTTAGCGGGGAGAGCAGGCCAAAGGAGGTCGGCGAGACCATGATCGCTGAGAGCGATTTCAATAGCATCAGCATCCAGACCGCGAGCCTTCATGCTATCGACGGCATTTGCACGAGCACGACGGTTGAATTCGGCAATATATCCCTCCCAACTGGAAGACATGTGGACCATCGGCTCAACATTCAGGGAGAGATTCGGGTGGCTTGTGATAGTGTCGGACCGAGTGCGATAGTGAGATCCGACAATGGCGGGCATCTTGCTGGAAGACTTGGAGCCCTTTGAACCAGCCTCTGGCGCAACGGGAGGAGGGGCGGCCCACACCATCGAGAGTGCGTCAGGAAAGCGTTTGCGAGCCGCGGCGACGACGTCGGGCGGACAGTCATCCGGGCTCATGAGCGCAAGCTTGGCGCGCAAGAGCTCGATGTCGGGGCGCTTCATGATGGCGAACCGTGGAAAGACCCTGTGGAACACCTCACCGAGTCGAACGTGCGAGGGCGAGTCGAAGACAAGCGCGGGCGGTGTTGAAGAGGATCGGAGGAAGAGGGTGGTGTGGTCGGCTGAAATAGATCAACGAGTTGACGCGACTTCCTGTTTGGGAAAGAAACAAACGCGCGGAAAGGGCAACCACGGACCCCGCAGAGCGTGTAATACAGCTTAAAGGTCACTGAGCAGATCCGCCGCGCTTGTGTTGAACGACCTGCCGATAAGGTAGCTACGACTTAACGACAGCAACCCCCCATCCTTCGTAGTGACCGCACGGCACGACGCATGTGGCCTCTGAATTCTAAAACATCTCGCTTTTCAGGTGCCGGCAATCTTTTTTCTCCTCGCTCGCAAGCTCCCATGCGAATCAAGTCCACACGGTCAATTACAAGAGCATCACGCCAGCTTCCGCCAATATCTTTCTGCGTGTTCACATCAGCACGTGGATCTCGTCGAAGCAATGAACTTCTGCATTATTCAATAGACCTGTCTTCTGATCGTTCCTTCATTCGTTATTTACAAGGTCATAATCAATTTGCCAGCACATTCTTGCTGGCGGAGAGTGAGTGCCCCTGTAGATAATGCGAATGAAGAGAAAGGGGCCAGGATGTCGAGAGTAAGAAAGGGCAAGAGTGCTATCGAGAGCTAAGAGACTGTCGAGGAAAGGTTTTATGGGAGTTTTGAGTGCGATCTGAGTGAGAGCGAGGAGTGGGGGGATGATCCTTTTCCGGCAGTTTGTGGCCAGCGCCAACCACTTGCCGAGAAAAGACAGCGAGCCTGAATGCTGACGTCCGTACCCCTTTCGCGGGCTGGCGAAGGGTAGACGTGCGGATATCAAGACATAAATCATGAAGTCGTAACCGCTCAACTTGCGAGAGGATTATGAGCTGAGAACATAGCCGGTCGAAGCACTAAGGAGATTGCTTTTGGGTAATCATTTGAGAGCGGAACCCGAGGACCGGAAGCCGCAGGATAACCGAATTTCCGAAGCAGCTGAACGAAACGCCTTTGCCATGCTTGCGCACGGCTGGTCGCGCATTGCCGACGAAAATCAAGTAAAGGTCTAGGCTCGCGCATGCCACCTTACTCCTGGGGCGCCTGGCTGCGGCGCATCTTCTCCGCCTCGAGGTTCTCATAGAGAAGGTACAGTGCCTTCTCGTTGCTGCTGGGGCTGCCCATGATGGTGAACATGCGCTCGCCCGTCTCATCGTGGGGGGCCTTGGCGATGGAGATACGTGCGCCGGAACTCTTTCTGATCTCGCTGATCTTGCTGCCACCACGGCCGATGATGCAGCCGACCATGTCCGAGGGGATGCTGATGTTCTGCGTCTGGATCTCCTCGCCGTCCTCGGTCGTCGTGGGCATCGGAGGGCGCGAGGCGGCGTCCGATCCCGAGCGGCGACTGTAGGTGGGAGAGTCACTGAAGTCGTTTCCGTGGCCAGTACGGTTGTAGGAGCGGGTGCCGGCGAATCCGTTGCCAACGGGGCCGCCAGTGCCAGCTTGGACCCGGACAGCAGGGTTGTAGAGGACGGTACCATAGCCGCGCTCGTGGTCGTCGATCAGGCACTTGCCGATCTCCCAAGTAGCCTTCTCAATACCCTCGGGCGTGCCCTGAATCTCGACGATGCGCTCCGTGGACTGGGGGAGCATTTCCTTCTGCGCAACCATGCGGACACCCGAGGCATCCTGAATCTGCTTGATCTTCAGACCCTGTCGACCAATGATGGTTCCCATCTGGTTGTGGGAAATGAGCAGGCGAACGGCTATTAGCGCCTATCGTCAGCAAAAGCACCAACGACTGCTTGGGCGTTGGCAGCTGGGGGTTATTGAAGCAAACGAGTAGACGAGAAAGAGCAGCCTGGACTTACGGTGAGTGCCGCTGGTGTTGACCACGCCGCCCATGCCAACGGAGGGCGCGCCCTCGAGCAGACCTTTGGCGACGAGGTGGTATGCCTTCGAGATGCCGCTCAGAGCACCAGTCACGGTGAGGACACGGTCGTGGACGCCCGGCACGACCTTGCTGACGCCAGCGCGGACGCCGGTCTCGTCGCGCAAGTTGGCGACGTTCTGACCTGCTTTGCCAATAATGACACCAGCTTCCTTGGAGGAAACAATGGCGCGCAGGGTCAATTGCGCATCGGCATATTCCTCTTCAGTCCTGGGAATGGGCTCGCCGGCCTCATTGACGTTGAGGTGCTGGAACGGCTGGGCAACGTCGTCAACGGTGGGAGACTGCATGGCAACGTCTTCGGCAGACATGGCGTTCGTGGCAAAGGACCGATGATTTCCTAGAACAATTCGTTCAGAGATATCCAATGGCGTAGGAAGCGGCGCGGCGATGCAGAGCTGCGACGCGTTGGTGGGGCGATAGAGAGGTTGGTGGTAGGAGCTCTGGGGCGCGCGCTGCTTGATGTCAGCCAGCTGATCGCGACGCAGGCAAAGGCGTGGCCTGGGCGAGCAAGACTTACCGAGCTTCGGAAGGCAGTGGCGGGCGGGCGGGCGGGCGGCGGGGTTTCTCGGCGGGCGGAGGAGAGAGAGGACGAGGGAGCGGGGAGGAGAGAGGGAGGGATCGGGAGGCGGCTCGGTGAAGAGAGAAGGAGTTGGGGGACGGCGGGTGGAGAGGAAAAGGTCCTGGATGCGCGTGGAGGTGGGGAGGTGGTTCTCTGGTTGCTGTAGAAAGGCGCGGGCGCGGGCAGAGCAAGCGAGTGCTGCTGGAGCTAGCCCGCACACCTGCCGGCCTAGCTCCCAAGCAACGGCGCACGCAACAAGCTTGCCGCGCATCACCTCTGCCTCCACGCTGGACCTCCAAACGCGCATTCCTCAACACCTTGCTGCACTGCCAACTGCCGCTGCCGCTGCCTGGCGCCCACCACGGCGCTAGCTGCTTCCACGGCGCAGTGGGCCGATCTCGCGGCTCTCGTGCAGGCCGACAGCCGCCGGCGCGCATCAGGCGGCGCATCGCTGGGTACGTGCCCGAAAGGCTCAGCAACAGGCGCGCTGCCTTTCCCTTTTTCTTCTCACGTCTCTCGCGCTGAGCAATCAGTGGCGACAGCGTTTACCGCGCGTCCGCACGCCCGACATCCATGTCCACGCGCCCCACACGGGTGCCAGATTCAGGCGCCGCGGTATGGGCGCTGCCGCCTCGGATGAGTGCTCTCCCGTGCCTCTCTCGGCCGGAGTTCGCGCGTGGACACACGTACACGTCAAAAAACACGACTCAATCGCAAGCGCCAGCGGAAACAAACACGGTGGGCTTGCGGGACGAAGCACCATCCGCTATCGAGCTAGTTGTGCGAGGTCTGGTTACACGCCTCCAATCGCGCCACGGTCCAAGTGCTCGGATTTGCCCTCAATGACCCCAACGGATGCCCCGGACTGGTTGTGCTACCTTTGCGCTTGGAACACCACCTTCTGCGCCTTCATCTTATCAAACAGATCGTAGCCCTCCACTGCATCCGACAGCGGCATCATCTTATCCGCCATGAATCCCAACAGGTGCTGCTTGCGCTGGAGCGCTTCCAGCGCTTGCGGGAAGATGGACCGCACTGGGCATCGTCCCATTTGGATGCGTAGATTCTTCCCGTACCCCTGGTTGCCCGTCCATGGAATCTGGAGCCAGGGAGTCAGCTTAGTATCCACGCTTCATGGGATGCAACCCGAGACTTGCCTCGCCGTTGTGCACTCCAACGCTGCTGATGATCCCCCATGGTCTGAGAATGTCGAAACCTAACTTTAGCGCGGGGCTTAGCCCAACCACCTCGATGACGACATCAGCCCCGCGGCCGTCGGTCACCTCTTTGATCCTCTTCTCCAGCCCTTCCCGATCGGTCTGGAAATTGAGCGGCTCGGCACCGAGACTCTTTGCAAGGTCCAGCCGGGTTTCGATACTATCGACAGCGAACAAATGTTTCGGTTTGTAGTCCAGGGCATTGACGAGCGCGCAGAGACCAACCGGACCGCAACCAATCACCACAACAGTAGCATCCGCAACGTCGTCCTTGGCGAGCGAGGAGAAAGCGTTGGCAGCCGCGAAGTAACCAGTTGGGAAGATGTCTGCCATGAGAACAAGTTTGTCCTCTTCTATGCCGGGTGGCGCTTTCATGACGGTTGAGTCCGCCAAGGGGATGCGCACCTGTGACCGTTCAGAACATGGTTCATCGTGATCCAATCACATCAAATGATGCCGGTGACAGTATGGAACCGTTTATTCAGAGACAAGGTCTTCGGGGAATATGACAAGTGAAACAAACAGCCAGTGTAAGCCGAGGCTTTACACTCCCATCTGCTCTTCCGCATTCCAGTCCAGACTTGCCCCAGAAGGTAAAACGAATGCAAGGAATTGAATCGAACTCACATATTCAGCCTGCGCACCATCCAACGCCGCGCACCCAAGCAGCAGGCATTTCTCGCACCTCGAGGAAAAGCCCTTCTTGCAGTAGAAGCACTGCCCGCAGCTCACCGTGAAGGGACTCACGACCTTGTCGCCCTTCTGGACCGTCTTGACGTCCGCGCCGACCTCGTCCACCGTTCCCGTGAACTCGTGGCCCATGATGAAGCCGGTGCCGCTGGGCTGGTGGCCGCGATATACGTGCAGCTCGCTGCCACACAGCGCCGTGTAGTCGACCTTGACGACGATGTCGGTCGGGTCCTGGATTTTGGGGATCGGTCGGTCTTCCACGGCGACCTTTCCTGGGCCTTTGAAGACCACGGCGCGCATGGTGGATTTCGACATGGCGCTGGATTGTGCTGGCTCCTTGTTGTCGGGGTGTAGCTCGCGGTAGAAAGAAACGAGATGCTACTGGGATTAAAACAATTCGGGGTAGGGAAGATTTGGAGGTGGCAATTGGACGCAGAAACGTTGTTCAGTCTTGCGTTCTTGCGGTGGGCTGACCACGAATTTATATCCATGTAATAGCAGAAGCTCCGAGGCTCGCCGGCCCCTCCTGGTCACTTCCGCTACCCCGCATATGCAAAGTTGATCGCGCCGTCCCGAAAAACCAGTTGGGCCATGATTACTCAAGCCCCGGCGGGGGTTTGTAACTGCATGGCCACTTGGTAATCCACTGCGAGCCGTGTGCAAACAGGAGTGGAAACGGATTACGGTCTCCATTCGTGGATGTTCATATGTAGAACCTAATCCGGAAAGTCCGTTGTACTATCCTAACCACCATCCATCCCCGTGAATAACCAAATTAGAAACCAGATTCCCATAAGCCGATGTCGAATGGGAATCGCTCGTATACTGGAGAGAGAATTTCCCCAACGCCGGCCCGCTCCTGAACACCATGCAGTTCCTTGAACGCCTTTATGCAAATGTCCTCCTAGCCTTGCTTCAATCCGAAGGCGGTCGTCCGGGGCTTGCGGTATACCCTTACGTGACCGTGCAGAGGAGCTCGGCCTCGAGGATGTACTTGCCCTCCTTGTACTTCTCCGAAGTTTCGTACGCCTTGTCGTACTTCCAGCCGACCGTCTCCTTGCACTGCCTGCACTGGATGTCGCGCACGATGTGCCTGCCGGTCGTCATGTTGCGCTCGCCGGGCTCGCCCTGGGTGATGTTGACGACGGAGTCGAAGAGGTAGGCCTTGCCATGCTGGCCGCGGAAGTTCTGGACGTCCTCCTGGGTTAGCACTTTAAGTGGCGTCGTCGACTGCGCGCGGTGACGTAGAGGGTTGGGGGAGAGAGGCGGGGCTTGTACTGACCCGACTGATGATGTCGTCGTGGTTCGAAAGGTGCGTCTTGCAGTTCTTGCAGCCGTAGATGCGCTGCGAGTTGAGGTAGACGTTGTACGTGAGACCCATGGCTGCACGAGGCTGGGTCGCGACGAACCCGGGTGGACTCGAGGTGCTAGAGCTGTGGGCGTCGCAGGTGGATCGCGTAGGTGCAGCGCGACCCGCAGATGGCTACGTGGGGGGGACGAGTGTTTGCTGTGAGGATGGCGTCAGGGTCCAGGTGGAGAGGCTGTTATGAGAGCGACCCCGGCTAAGGAGGCTTCGTCGGCACGGCCGCCTCCGAGAGCCTCAAAGGTCGAGCTGTGTGGGAGCTTCGTGCGGAGCTTGAGGAGCTTGGGAGCGCCTGCGCCTCTGGTCTAGTCGAACGAGTCACGCTCTCTTCAGATGCTTTACACGGGCGCGACAGCCGGCAATCACGGCGCGTCGCTAGCTGTTCGGCGATTGAAGCGGTGACGTAGGACAGCCTGGAGGTGTGGAGACGCGCGGAGGAATGAGCGATGGCAAGCTGGGAACGGGCACGCGGCAGCTGCAGGCAGCGGGCAGAGGTGCAGCGACGGCGCGAGCACACCTAGAAGGACAGCGATGGTTCGAGGCGGGCAGTCGTGAGATACGATAGCGAGGAGCAGGTGGGGAGCTCCAGCTTGCTTAGATGAGCGCGTCACGTGTGCACCGCTGCGCAACGGCCGCAATGGAGCAAGCGGCCGACTCATGGACGCCGCAGTTCCGATGAGGCCTGCCCGCCGTGACTGGCCGCCGTCATGCGGCGGCAATAAAATAATGATGGGGTCTTCACGCAGGGCGACCAGAGCAAGCAGGGATTCTCCCGCGGCCCAGGCTGCAGCTCAGGCACGCCTATCGATAACAATCGGCCACGCTCCCGCGGGGATCCTTCTCCATCATCTCTCTTCGCCCATGGGACTGTCCTGACGATCATTGCTGTCACATTCCGTCTCGCCATGCATCGCTCTACCGCTCGGCGAACAGGCTGCCAGCACTTCATATCCAACCAAGCCATGCGACAGGTGGGAGCACAACGCCATCACTGGCTGGGTGCGGTACAATGTGATCAGTCTTAATTGCTGCACCCGCCGCCTGAGTGGCTCTAGCGGCTGAACGAGTATTGCATGCTGCCGGAACTTCGAACAGGCAGCTCCCTACCGAGCCCAGCTCCTTGCCGACTAACAAAATCTGATTACTCTTTACAAGAAGAAACAAGTTGACAGGTCACTACTATCGTTTAGGTGACCGCTACTTTTCTTGTCTCTTCTCCCTCTCCGCCTCCCTCCTCCACGCAGCACCAAACCTCCATTGTACCGCGACGCCCAACAACGCCACCCCTTGCACAATCGCACACACAGTGAATGCGAGCCCAACCCCTATTCCATTCACCATCGGCATCACGAAGCTCGTCCCACCAGCCGCGAACAAGCACCTCGCAAGATTCAAACTCGCACTCGCCGCAGCGCTGCGGTCCGAGAAGACGTCGACAAGGTAAGTCATGATGACCGACTGCGTCGACACGGCCGTCCAGCCGGTGACAAAGGTCGACACGATCGGCACCGCAATGTGCACGCGGCCCGAGTACTGGACGGTCCAGCCAAAGAGCAGGATCGACGCGCATTGGATCACCGAGAAGACGGGCACGAGCCGGAGGCGCGCCTTCTCGATCGGGAAGTCGCTTTCGTCGTTATCGACAGCGGCGGCAGCGGGGGGTTGGTGCTGGGGCTGGTGCTGGTGGCGGGCTTGGGGATCCTCGAGGCGCTCGCCCGTCTCGGCATCGGGCTGGGAGGACGTCGACGACGACGATGACGACATGCGGCGAGCCTCGTGCCTGGCCCTGACGTGTCGGTAATCGACGTCGAGGATCTTGCCGGTCACGAGCGTGCCGATCATGGAGCCGGCGCCGTTGGCGATGAAGGTCAGGCCAATCTCGGTTTCGGTGAGGCCGTAGCGCTGGTCGAAGAGGGAGGACATGGCGGTGATGCTCATTTGCCAGACGGCATAGTAGATGGCGAGGAAGACGATGATGGGCGCGGCGTGCTTGCTGATGAGGATTCGGAACGGGCCGGTGACGTCGATGTGTTTCTTTGCCGCTGGCTCTGGCGGGCCTGCTTCTGGATTCCATTGAATCTTGGTGAGGTTTTGGTAGACGAGCAGAGGGTATTTGGCCAGAGGGCTTGATGGCACCCGGCCACCGTTTGCAACGATTGACCTCAGCGTTTCGGGAAGCAGGAGGACCAGTAGGAGCAGAAAGACGCCGCTGTAAATTGCGAGGAACCAGAAGATTGCCCTCCAGCCCAAGGATCCAGCTAGAGCACCTCCAATGACTGGGCCGACAGCGACAGGCATGAGAAGCCCGGCTTGGAAGATGCCCATGAAGCCGCCACGCTCAGCGCGAGTGGTGATATCACCAATCACGCCTGAGCCAATTGCAATGGTGCTTGCACTGCCAGTGCTTTGCAAGCACCGTAGAACTATTAGGGTTGCATAGTTCTTTGTCTCTGCCAGGCCGACGCATGCGCCGAGGAACACGACGAAAGTGCAAAAGTATGCAACTCGGCGACCTTTAACATCGGAGATGGGGCCCCAGAGACTGGGGGCTAAGCCTTGGAAGATAAGGTAGGAAGTCACTGTGAGATTCACCAGCTCGACTGATACATTCAGATCATGAGCAATGGTAGGTAGCGCGGGGAAGTAGATGTTTGAAGCAAATCCGGAGACTGTTCGAGCGTGAGCGCCATAATCAAACCCACTGCAAATTCTCCCGCTTGGATGGACTCACAAGTTGCAGCCGTCGAGACAAGAAGCACAATCAGAGCCTTTTGCCGCTTGTCGAATATGCTGTAGGGTTCCTCCGGAGAGGGTGGCGGTTGCGACGATGCGTCTTGAACAGGGACGGGAGCTTCTTCAGACCGGTCTCCGGCAGCCATGGTTGATTGCTTCAGGTGTAGGGGGGTGTTTCGGCACGTGATCTTCCTTGCTTAGCAAGAAACCAACAAGATCCGCTCAACCTTGATATACTACTTGATAGTTCCAGACTTGGCGGCGTAAGGGAGGACGCGCCGGTGTTGAACGCGCCGGTGTGCGGAGCTAAGGCCTCAAGTCCGGATTTTAGCCAATCATGACATGGCTTGACTGATCCCCTCAACGTGGTTGGTGTCCGGATTGAGCATCGACAAAGAAGCAAGCGCAGACCGGGAACGCTATTGCCGATATTAGATCTGGGAGTAGTTTCCATCAACCGGGCTTTGCAGATGTTTGAGAGATGTTGGATAGTCTGTGAAGGTCAAGTAGGGGTTGTCGTTGGGACATCACCAAATTAAGGCTGGACGGGATACTGCACAATTTGCTAATTGATGTTTGCCATGTGTGCTATCTGATTCAAGACATGCGCCGGTTTCAGCAACGTGTTCTTGGGCGTCTCTTTTGCGCAGCTGATACGAGTTTCCTTTCCTGGAAGTTCAACGCCGCTTGACTGTGCACCGTGAGAGAAAAGCAAAAGCATAGTCGAAAAAGCGGCGAGGGCCACGAGATGCCTGTTCCAAAGTCTCGTACACCCAAGCCATACTTTTGCTTCGTATCGAGCTCCTATGTACTAAAGCTGCGCCGTTCAATATTCGGATATCCGAGGCGTCGCTCCTAAGCTCTAGTAGTGATATCGTCTCATGTGTAAAGCGTCATAGAGATTCCGTATGCTCTCGCTGCTCGGTGATCAGCAGTAAGACTCATTGCACACGCCGGCCATTGAACATGGCGAGAAGTGTGGTCAGTGTAGCAGCCTTCCACAGATGGTGCCTTGGCATATGATCGCGGCTCATGACACGCCTTGCAGTAGCTGCAAATCAGTATGCGATGCCGTACAACGCTCCCAGTTGCTCTCGCGACACAAGGGAGTGTGTCAGGACATCGTGCGGTTGTCAAGTTTAGTGGGAGACGAGGGCGTGGAGCAACTGGCCATAACTTATATCATATGGCCCAGGATAGTGACGCAGCGGGAGGCCTGAGCAGCCGCTAGCGCAGGATCTCGTTGCGATCCGTACGCCACGCTCGGGAGGATGTTGCGCGATAGCGATTATCAGTGAAACTCCATGCCGTGAGGTGCAGCTGCTTGCGTGTGCTCGCGTGCGCTCACCTGCCCACCATTGGGCCTCGACGCTGGTTGCTGTGACGCGGGGTTGCAGCGGGCAGCGCTGGCGGCCCCGATAAGCCGTCAGCAGCAGCGCGCGTCCGTGTAAACAGAAAGCGCGGCGGCCACGAGTTCTCCCGAGCTATGGAATCTTCCCGAAGGCGCGGCTGATCCCAGCCGTGTTTGCCGTGGGTACCCAGTTTCGACTCCGTTTAGCTGCCCCCTCTAGGCCCGACTTGCTACATTCTTTCAGACGCCCAGGAGCCTGACCGTCCCGCCCTACAGCCTCTGAATAAGCGTCCCGCAAGTAGTGCCATTCCGCCGACTGCTCGCCTCTCATGGTTCTGCCCGGCATTTTTTCCAAACAGAAGAAGAAGCCGACCGACCGCCCAGCCTCTCCTCCTCCAGCTCCACCGCTGCACGAGCACAAGGCACGCTCCAGCACGCCGCCTGCATCGCCCGAGAAGAGGCCTTCGAGCCAGACGCACCGCAGTTCGCACAGCGCACGCTCCTCACCCGTCAAGGATCGTCACCGGAGGTCCGACTCCTCCCCCACCAAAAAGTCGGCCTTTTCGCGCACCCAGTCCTTCGACCCCAACACACACCCTCTCAATCTGCCGCCCGAGGAGCGCCGTCGCCTGTCACAACTGCACTCCAAGATGAGCGATCAGCCGCAGAGCACCCCGGCGACGCCCATGGACGTCGACCGCGAAGCCACCGCCTCGCCGCCGCCCAAGGCGAACGGCTCCGCCGCCGAGACCAACGGCGACAACGCTGCTCCGCCGCCCCCGCCGCATCGCCAGCCCACAAGCCCGCCTCCCGTCGACGCCGAGGCCTGCAAGGCTGCTGGAAACAAGTTCTTCAAGGCCAAGGACTACCCCAAGGCTATCCAGGAGTACACCAAGGGTACGCATTTTCAGCTCCTTGAAATTTTGGCGGTTTTCGGTTCACTGGTCACACCTTGATCAAGGGTTCCCTGTCGTTTTTGTACTACGCATGCCAGATTTTGCTGCAGCATCCCTATCTACCCGGCCTGTCGATTGCTTGTTCTGGCTCATGCGACATGCCCGTATCGGTGCTCCTGCTGACTGTGTTCTGTAGCGATTGAGGCCGATCCCAAGTCTGCGACCTACAGGTCCAACCGCGCTGCGGCGTACATCTCCGCGAATCGCTTCCCCGAGGCTCTGGAGGACTGCAAGTCCGCTGACGAGCTTGAGTCGAACAACCCGAAGATCCTCCACAGGTTAGCGCGTGTCTACACGGCTCTCGGCCGTCCTCAGGACGCTTTGGAGATCTACGAGAAGGCAAATGCGAGCGCAACGGATAAGGCGGCTGCTCAGTCCATGGCAACTCATCTGACGCAGGCGGAGGACCAGCTGCGCTCCGGATCTGCGGGTTCCATGGTGATCCACGCGCTTGACCAAGCCGAGAAGGGGCTCGGATCTGGAGTCTCTGTGCCCAGAAAGTGGAGGCTCATGCGTGGCGAAGCCTACCTGAAGATGGGCAACGTCAATGCACTTGGTGAGGCACAGAGCCAAGCCATGATACTGTTGCGCGCAAACAGCCAGGATCCCGAAGCTCTCGTGCTCCGCGGCCGCTCGCTCTACGGCCAGGGTGACAACGCCAAGGCCATCCAGCACTTTAGACAAGCCCTTTCGTGCGATCCGGACTTCAAGGATGCTATCAAGTGGCTGCGTACTGTCCAGAAGCTGGATAGGATGAAGGAAGAGGGCAACCAGGCGTTCAAGAGTGGAAAGTACCAGGAGGCAGTGGACACTTACTCGCAGGCCCTAGAGGTTGACCCCCAGAACAAGGGCATCAACTCGAAGCTCCTTCAGAACCGTGCGACTGCTAACATCAAGGTGAGAGCTTATGGCTTCTTATCTGCTTCAATGCTGACCCTGACGCCAGCTCAAAAACTACCAACAATCTGTGGATGACTGCACGCGTGCTCTTGAGCTTGATTCGACTTACCTCAAGGCCCGGAAGACCAAGGCCAAGGCATTGGGTGAACTTGGCAAGTTCGACGCCGCTATTCAAGAGTTGAACGCTGTCAAGGACGCCAGCCCCGGCGAACCTGGCATCGACAAGGACATCCGCAACATGCAACTTGAATCCAAGAAGGCACAAAGGAAGGACTACTACAAGATCCTTGGGGTTGAGAAGGACGCGGATGATAACCAGATCAAGAAGGCGTACCGGAAGCTGGCCATCGTCCACCATCCCGACAAGAACCGCGATGATCCCGAAGCTGCTGAGCGGTTCAAGGATATCGGTGAAGCTTACGAGACTTTGAGCGATCCTCAGTATGTGATCCTAGCCTTGACGTTAACACGCATTTGCGCGCTCCATGAGTGGCTCCAATTCTCTAACCTCATCTACCTTTAGGAAACGTGCCCGTTACGATAGCGGGGAAGACCTCATAGACCCCTCCGAAATGTTCAGCGGCGGCGGCGGCTTCGGTGGCGGCGGCATGGGCGGCATGGGCGGTGGCGTCAACATCAGCCCTGAGATGCTCTTCAACATGATGGGCGGTGGTATGGGAGGCGGCGGTGGTTTCGGCGGCTTCCAGAGCGCTGGGGGATTCCCAGGAGGCGCTCGCGGTAGAGGTGGGCAGCAGTTCTCCGGAGGTTTCCCGTTCTAGTTGACTACTCATTAGGACAAGGGAACAACCGTGGATCTACTCCCGGTGGAGCTGACAGAGGTACGGCGAAAAAAACTGGCGCTGGCAATGTGCCTCGAGGTGGTGGGAGCACTGGCAGAACGACGGCTGGTGGAACGAAAACCGATGCAAAATGACGGGGTCAACTCGACTCGCAAGAACGGCAAAACCGAAGGTCTCGGCGTGAAGAATAGTACTGGCCGGGAAACCCCAGCGGTTTTAAGAAATTTGGAGGTCCTGGCGCAGCTCGCGCCATTACTGGCTCCGGCAGGACTGGTGATGGTACAAGCAGCGAGACGGATGCTCGGGGCGCTGTAACCTCTTCAACGTGTTGAAGGGCTTCACCTATGGGGAGAGTAAAAGTACTGAAAATTTCGCAAGTCCAAGCAAGGATGTAACATTCAACAAAACTCCAGCCCCGGCCGAGGAATGAGTCGATGTATGACGGCCGCTCCTGGTAAAACTGCTACTTCTAGCAAGGCAACAATACTTGACAAAGTCACTCGCTCTACCGTACCCACTGGAACAAGCAAGCACAGAACCCAAAGAGAGAGGCAGCAGCAAGCTAAAGAAGTCACTCAGAACGCAATCTTCGAGACGAGTCTTGTGCGATTTCTCCCTGCTTTACATCTCTTCTTCTCCAGCGGTTATTTCTTTGTCACGGATGCGACTCTCTGTTAAACATCGATATTTGGAGCTCCCCCCTGCGCTTTCCCGGCATTTCTCCACAAATCCATTGGCATCGAACATTGATTAGGGCTGTTCATGATAGCAAGCATCTCAGCAGGTCGGGCATCGGATGATGGCTATTATGACGAGTCTCTCGTGCTCGGTACGGCATCCTCTCTCCTTTCAGGCATTCTGTCAGCGGGGGCACGGGTTAGACACGAGGCACTTTCTTCGTTGTTGTTTTCTGGGACAGTTTTTTCTCTGCTTGGGAGTTTTTTCTTACTATAGACCGGAGGAAACCGTATGCCCCTTTCTTGTATTTCCGTGTCTCTCTGCTTCCGTTCATCTTCAGTCACCATTGATATTGGAGGAGACTCCGTTTTGCTCGAAAGCTGTTGTTGTTGTTGTTTCGGTTATTCGGTACATTGAAAAGAGCGGCCCCCTTCTCCTGTGCGCACACAAGCACATACGATCATTGCAAGGCGTTTGACCCTATTATTTCCGCTTGTATAAGTTTCCGTCCGAAGGCACTGCCACCCCCCTTTTCTTTTTGGAAGGTGTGTGTGTGTGTGTGTGTGGTGGGTGGGTGGGTGGGTGGGGAGGGGATGTCTCGTATTGTGATTCTCATGTAGAGGGCACAGACAAATGTGATAATTTGCGGCTATCGGCATACTTCAGGCGCGTCTGCCAAGAACTTGGACTACCTACGCAGGAGAGAGCGAGCCCCTTGGGCGGGGACCAAATAGATATATTTCTTCATGATGCTGAGTAAGCATCGACGCCAACACGAACAAGTTTGGCTGGCTTCCACTCTCTCCACGCTGCCCCATCTAGTGCCAAGGGTGCGGTAATGCCGGGTAGGCAATAATAATAATAATCCGAGATCAATTGAGACGCGTTCAACTCGCGGTGGTGGTAGAAAGCGGAGACGCATGCGAGCAGGGTATCCACGCAACGCGCGCGCGTCTATCTTTCTTCCCGCAATCACCACCACCACAACCACCATGATCAATCATTATGATGATCATCATCATCACAAACCATACACAAACGTCATCCTCTCATCGCCCTCCCTCCCCATGCCCCGCCACTCCCCAATCCACCCAGCCATCTTCCCCGCGACACCACCACCAGCGTTACCTCTCCTCTCCAACCACTCCAAGACCCCATCCGCCACCGCCCCCGCCCCACCTCCCCTCTCTCCTCCTCCTCCTCCTCCCCCACCTCCCCCCCACCGCCTCCTCCTAACCGGCCCCCTCCCCCACCTCCTCTCCGCCTCGACCTCATCCTCGCTCCACCCCGCCAGCAACGCCGCCCTCTCCGCATTCTCGCGCTTCAGCAGCGCGCGGAACCCCGCGAAACCCGCGGCGGCGCACGCGACGGCGACGGCGGCCCACGCGAAGCTGAAGCGGTAGCCGTCGCGGGCGAAGCGCGGGGAGAAGAGGGCGCTGGCGACGACGCCGGCGACGTTGCCCCAGCCGTTGAGGCCGAGGGCGAGGGCGCGCTTGCCCGGCTGGGGCAGGTTGTTGGTGAGCCAGGCGACGGTGAGGGGGGAGGCGATGAAGGTGCCGGAGAGGAGGACGCAGAGGGCGAGGTAGCGGGGGATGAGGGAGTGGGGGTGGGGAGGGTGGGACGGGTCGGAGGCGGTGGGGGAGGAGGAGGAGGGGAGGAAGATTGTGCCGGCGAAGCCGACGAGGACGATGGCGAGGGAGACGAGGATGGGCTTGGTGCGGTCGCGGATGCGGTCGGACCAGGAGGTGAAGGCGTAGAGGGTGGCGGCGGCGCAGAGGTAGGGCGGGGCGGTGAGGAGGTTGGCGAGGGCCGGGGTGGAGGAGAGGGGGGAGAGGACGAGGGGGAGGAAGATGGAGAAGGCGGTGCTGGGGATGGCGGAGAGGATGTTGAAGACGAGGAGGTAGTAGACTTTCCAGGAGGTGAGCGCTGAGAGGACGTCGTGGGCTGAGAGGCCGTGGTCTGTGGTGTTCAGGCTCGATGAGCTTTCGTGCGGTGATGGGCAGCCTTGTCCGTGGGGAGAGACAGATAGTAGGCCTTGGGCTTCCTCAGTGGAGTGAGCGGATCGGAGTGGGGCTTCAAGGTTGCCAGGCTCCTCGCGAGTAGGAAGAGCGGAGGGAGAGTGTTTAGGCCAGTTGTGCTCAGCCTCACCCTCCCTGTCTCGTTTGATGCGCTTCTCGGCCCATTCGCGCTCGTCCGGATTCAGGAACCAGGAAGTCTTCGGGCGCTCCGGCAGCCAGAAGAAGCCCGTCAGAGCAATAGTCATGGTGGTGAGTCCCTCTATCAGGAACAGAATCTGCCACGAATGCCAGCTGCTGCGGGAGGGCGAAGTAGTGGGGTTGGCATCTTCAACGGGGAAGTGCGAGAAGACGGCGTACGAAAGAACTCCACCAAACGCGCCGGCGATAGCTGCTTGGCCGTAGAAAATGGCCAAGCGTCTGCCGAATTCGAAGCGGGTATAGAACAAAGAGAGGTAGGAGACGGTAATGGGATAGAAGCCGGCTAGGGGACTAATTTAACACATGACTCGGAGACGGATAAGACAACACGTAGCTTGTTGACCCACCTTCGAGAGTAGCTATGGTGATGCGCAGAACGTACAGCTGCCACGCGGCATGTACCCAGATATGGAGAGTGGTGCAAAGACCCCATAGGGCCATGCACGCGGGCACCCATCGCTTCATGCCATACTTGCGGCCCAAGGCGGCGCCTAGGGGCTGCAAGGCGACGAAGAAGACAAAGAAAAGCGCAACGGCGGTGTTGACATCCTCGCGGTCAAGGCCGGCATCGGTGGTGAAGTGGGCGGATTCGGCGCTGCCGATGTTCGATTTGTCTAGCGAGTTGAAGAGGAAGAGCAGGGCGAGGAAAGGCAGCAGGATGACGTCGAGCTTGCGGACGGTCCGGCGGTCCAGCTCCTGGTCGTCCAGGGAGAGGGTGTCTCCAGCGCGGAGGTCTGACGGCATGTCATCGCTGAGCTCGCGGGCGTCGTCGTCTTCGTCGGGCGTAAGGGCGCCTGGAGGGGAGTCGGAGCTCTGCGACGAGGGTGCAGCTCTGGCTCGGGGTTGCAGCTCATACATCTCCGACATGTCACCTGGGCGCCGGGCTGCGGCCACGCGCCGGCGGTGAAGGCGACATGGCCGTGATCGCTAGCGGCTCAGCGGTGGAGACAGCGCTCGGGAGGCCGGGAGGGCGCGGACTGAGGCAGCAGGGATGCGGTGGGCACGCACAACCGATCAATCGCATCCATCAGCAGCCGGCCATGGACCCTGAGGCGTGCGGCGGGCGGGCACACGTGAGAGCGCGGGTTGCACGCGGCGCGAAGGCGGTGTCACCAGGCGTCGCCAGGCAGCCACAGCCGGCGCACCGCTGGGCTGCGGAGAAAAGCGGTGGACGATGCGCTGCCTGGAGCGGGCGGCGCAGGCGTCGGCCTGTGTCTGCCAATCCGCCCGACAGATCGCCTCCGGTGGTGATGACGCGAGCTGGACTTGTTTTTTCCCCACCTGCAGCGCGTAACGGCGTGCGGGCTGCATGTGCGTGCGCGGCAACGGCGAATTGGAGGCTGACGCGAGTGCAACGCTCATGCAGCGGGCGACGAGAGGAACGGGCGGCAGCCTGCGAGCGCAGGTGAGCGCGAGGCCCGGCGCCGCGCGACCCATCGGCAGCGAGTCATCGCGCGGCGATGATGCACCGCTGCTGCGCGCATCTGCGGGGACGCAGCAGCTCTGCCCTGGGCCCGGCGCTTGAGCTGGCTGTCCGTGGATATCTTCTCCACCGAACACCCGCGCAGTCCCAGCCGAGTTGCAGCATCCCTGTGCCGCGCGCGGGAACCCAGGATCCTGCTATCAACGGAGGCCCCGGGGCTTTGTTGGCGGGTAGAGCCGCTGCCGCTGCCTTGCAGGCCAGACGCCCCAAACATTTTCCAAAACCCCCCCACTCGTCCTCCGCACTTGCGCTGTACATATCCCGCTGTGCCTCTGCTCGCAGGCCAGTCTGTCCCCCCCGCCGCCCTGCTTCTCCTCCGGCTGGCGTGGTTTCTCTGTCTAATCGTCCCCGAGCGCCCAGCCACCACGTAAACAATCGCTGCCCGTATGCCCTGCGCACCGCCCTCACCGCAACACCGCCCGAACCCTCCCCACACCAATCCACAACCCTCCGCATAGGCCACCGACCCGCAATTCTGCCAGCACTCTCGTTGGGACGCCCTATATCGATCGAACCCCCGCAGGCGCAAGCAGACTCCGCCGTCTGACTTGTTGCCCACCCTACGGCCCCCGAAATGGACGCTCCGCCGCCGCCGCCTCCGCCGCCGCACGGCGAAAACCCGAAAACGACCGCCGGCGGACAGGGCTCCGGCCTACCACCCGGCAACTACGACATCTTCATCATCCCGCCGCACAGTTCCGGCTCCGGCTTCCTCTACCTGCCTTCTCTCAACTGTCAGCGGAACTCCTTCCTCGCTGGCGTCGGCTGCACCTTGCTCGCGGTACTAGTATGGACAATCATCGAGCCCACGGTCAAGTCGTGGGTCGCAGCAGTGACGACCAGCGGTGGAGGCGGGATGTTGATCCTCCTCATCGGCGTAGGCGGCGCGGCATGGCACATGGGCAAGTCGCAAGGAGACGGTGCGGCAGGATCCCACTCGGCCGCTCCGGGAGGAGGTGCAGGAGCTGGAGCTGGAGCTGGAGCCGGCGCCGGCGCTGGCGCTGGCCACACACCCGGCGGCGGAGCACATGCTGGCCCTCAGCCGAACGGCTTCCCCGGCGGTGGCTTCCACCATGCACCTCCTCCCAACCCTGGGGCCGGGCCTACGCCTGGAGCGTCGTGGGGAGGCAACGCCCGCAACTCTTCCGCTGACTGGGAGAAGGCAAGAGAAGAGACGAGACAACGGGAAGAAGCCCGTAAGCGGGAAGAGGAAGTACGACGCCAGGCGCAGGAAGAAGCCAAGAAAAAAGAAGCTGCTGACAGGGCCGCGCGTGCACAGGCCGAGAAGCAGAAGTGGGAACAGATGCGCGCTCGCGAGAAGGAACAGCGTGAGAGGGAAGCACGGGAGCGTCTGGCGCGGGAAAGGCTGGCCAAAGAGAAGGCGGAAAGAGAAGCTCGACTCGCAAAGGAGAAGGAAGAGAGAGAAGCTCGAGAGAAAGAAGCCCGTGAGAAACTGGAGCGAGAGATCCGCGAACGTCTTGAAAAGGAAGCTAAAGCAAAATCCGATGCAGAGGCCGCCGCTGCAGCAGCGAAGGCCGAAGCAGAAGCAGCAGCAGCAAAGGAGAAGGCGGCCAAGGAGCGCGAAGAGCGCCTCAAAGCTGCCCGTGAACGTGCTGAACGCGAGCGAAAGGCCCGCGAAGCTGAACGGCTGGCCAAGGCTGCTGCTCCACCAGCACCGACCAGATCTGCCAGCGAGAGTGGCAGAGCGACCAGCACGTCACCCAAGAAGCCCTACGAACGACCGACCGCCCGAACGAGCGATGGAGACTCGCGTGCCTACTCAGGCTTCCGCCCCTACGACGCCCCGAAGGCACCTCGAACCACCGGCTCCGCGTCCACCTACTCCGAATCCGTTTTTAGCTCCTCTTACGCACCCTCCGTGTCCACCGCCCGGACTGACCCTCCGCCCTCGGTACGTGGACCATACAACACGGCCGATCCGGAGAAGGTGGTGATCAAAGGTGTTTACCTGTTCACATCCGCCTTCCCGAAACCTGTGGGCAAGTTGATATCAGGCGTAGGCGCGGTGACGGACGGATTAGTCCTCCGCATGACTACCGAAGGCCTCTTCATTGACGACGATGTGCGACATGTGGCCCAGCGTGAGTGGGATGTCAAGGCTTGGACAATGAAGCTCGTCGAGACTGCTGAAGTCAAATCAGCCGGAGTCTACATTGTCAGAGCCAGCATCAGAGACCCGGAGGGCAAGAGATACGTCTTCATCATCAGCATGGAGGAGAGTTGGAAGGTTGCGACGGGCCTGCAGAGGCTACGGAAGGGGAGTCAGGTGCGCGCACTGGGCGTGCAGGGTATAACGCCGGGAGAAGCGAACAAGATTCTAGCATTGCTGTGATGAGCAGTGTGGACGAAGTCAGGAAAGAAGGAGATGGGGAGCTCCACGTGCAGTGGTTCTAGTGGTGGTCTGTTTATTTTTCTTTTGTTAACGAGGAATGCTAGGCTCGGAGTTTCAGGGAGACGGGCAACCGACGGGGACACTTTCAACATTCCGACCTCATGGGCTCATCCCTCTCATTCACAGCTCGTCACCGGCATGGTCTATATCAAGCACAGCGGCGTGTGTCGCGAGGGATCGTTTAGTTGTTGCATCCACATGCAAGCGTTTAGAGAGCGACGTCGGAAAAGAAGTCCGACCGGCATCATGCATACATTCTGCAAGCAGGCGGCATAAGCGACGGAGTTGATCAACATTCTCCTATCTCCTTTCTTTTTTTTTCCCATTTCTTTTTTTTGTTTTCTTTTCTTTTCCTTTAATTTCTGGATTTCCATTGTCTGTTTCCTTAAGGTCTGGGTTGTGCGGTTGCCTTGATATTTGTTGCTTTCAGTACAGGGAAAGAGGCCTCTCTGTTCGGTATGTAGAGTCGTCAGAGGAAGTTCACACCACCACATCTTTACATAGCTGTAGAGGAAAGTAGCCGGATACCACACAATGGAAGTTGGGCATGTTGTCTTCAAACTCGCTTTTGGCTCTCCCTGGGATCATGCGGAACGAGGAATGTTTAGGCGCTGAGCAGCCGGTGCGGATCGGGCGCTGAGGTTGGACGGCATCAGAGGATGGTTCAACGTCCATATGATAGTGCCACAGCGGGTTATCGGATGCTTGGTCCTTTTGTGCGCCCCACGCGGGACGCTACACTCATATTACTAGGCTGTCCAAGCAAATATCCAAACGTAGAAGTGAATTTTCCGAGCTCTCCGACGTGGGCAGTCGAAGTGAATATCTGCACTTAGTTATAAGTCTCATAACTGTACATGTGCATCCAGATATATGATTTGACTGCCCGTGAAAGTAAGGCTTAACGTCTCTGTGAGGTTGATGTTGTTGGTTCTACACCTCCATACATCGAAACTGGCAAGGTCCTTTATGAAGCCGCGGATTTCGTTCCCGTACAGGTGGCAGGAACTCCCCCAGACATCTCTACATATTTTATATGTGCGACAGCTGCTGTACTAGTCGCACAGTCTTCCAAGGAAAAGTACACATAAACTGGAAGTATCACAGACTATCATCGTCGCAGCTACACGTTACATCAAGCACCCACAAACTCCGGACGACCATGCGGTTCAAGAGTTTTTTTTTCCTTTCGGGGCCATTACCGTACAGATTCTTGGGCAAGAAGAGCGAATTGCTTTTAGATTTATATACCCTACATGGATACTGCTATGATGAAAAAGGACCGTCGTACCTGGATGAGAGCCGTCTACAGTAAGGTCGCTGTTGCAGCGCAGCTTACATTTCAGGCACACCGGTCATACTGAGAAGCTGGACCGCCGGAGCGCAAAGGATCAACGAGGATCGAGTCACATGGATATGCAACGTAGGTACGGATTACTGCCTTCCTGGAAGGGCTGGACCACCAAGATAGAGTTCGTCCCTAGCCAATAATCCCATCCATCCCATCCACCATCTGCACTCAACAAGAACAACAATCAGTACGAGCCGGGCCTAGCACCCACTCACTCACTCACTCGCCCACCCCCTCCCCCTCCCTCAGCATCCCCACCAACGCATCCACCACCGCCCTCGCAAACCCCCCATCATTAATCGCCCTCCCATCCTCCACGACCCTCACCCCGCTCCCGGCCAACCCCTCCCTCACCGCCGCAAACAACGCCTCATCCGCCGCCCGATCCTCAAACACGCCCCCGGCCTCGCTCATCAGACTCACCCCGCCCCGCGGGATCCAAACCTGGCACATGCGCGGCGCCTTCGCCCGCGCCAGCTTCTCCGCCACGAACCGCCCCACCGCCGCGCACTCGTCCGGGCTCGTCCGCATCAGCGTCACGCTCGGGTTGTGCTCGTGCAGCTTGCGGCCGGCGCGGACGAAGGCGTCGGGGACGGACGCTGCGGGGCCGAAGTTGGCCATGTCGACGGCGCCGAGGGAGACGACGGTGGGGATGCCGGTGCTGGCGGCGGCGGAGAGGCGCGTGGGCCCGGCGGACATGGCGGTGGTGGTGCTGCCGGCGGTCTCGGAAGAGACGACGTGGTCGGCGATTTCGGTCGTGGTGAGGTCGATGGCGGCGGTGAGGGCGGAGGCGCGGACGAGGCGCTCGTAGGCGCGGCCGCCGTGGCCGGTGGCGTGGAAGATGTGCGTGTCCGGGAAGGTGTAGGGGCAGGCGCTGGGGGGGAGGGAGGAGAGGTGCGCGAGGTAGTGGCGGATGGTGGTGACGGCGGGGGTGGTGACGCCGAACATTGTGATGCCGAGGCGGATGGGGGTCTTGTTGTTATTGTTGCTGCTGCTGTTGTCGGAGCTGGTGGGGGATTGGAGGGTCGTGCGGGGGTGGTGGAGGTAGGCGGTGGCCATGGCGGCGATGGCGGCGGCGGCGTTGGAGAGCACGGTGCGGAGGATGGTGTTGAGGCCGGCGATGTCGACGATGGAGTACATGAGGGTGATGTCGGTCTCGCCGACGATGGGGCCCGTCTCGCCGCTGGCGATGGTGCTGACGATCAGCTTGGGGAAGCCCATGGGGAAGGCTTCACGCATGACGGCGGCGGCGAGGGATGTGCCCCCGCTGCCACCCAGGCCGATGACGGCGGTGACGGGCTGCTCAGCTGAGTCCTCCCGTTGGCGGTCGAGGAGGGTGCGGGCGTAGTTTGTGGCGCAGGCGGCCATGTGCTTGTTGAGCTCGCCACGATCCAGGGCGCTGATGTCGGGGGGCGCGCCATCTGGGGCGTAGCTGGTGGTGAGCTCCTTTGGGGTGACGGTGATGGCGGGATCAGAAACGGTTGTGCGGCCAACATCGACTAAGGTGACGGCAGCGTCTTTATGGTCGAGGATCTTCTCTCGAGTGTACAGTAGCTCCTCGAGCTTGGTGTCGCAGGTTCCGAGAAGGAGGATGTGGGGCATACTGGGGGATAAGTGGGATGGAGTGCAGACTATCAAGACAGGGACGGCACTTGGAGAGGCAAATGGAAATCTTAACGATGCCTGGGGGTTTCCGACACAGGGAAATAATCTGAAATGATGCCCTTATTTGATGGCTGTTGAGCTGTACGTTGTCCACCAAGAATCTTCCCGGGCGATCACTTCGACGGAGTGCGCTTGACGATAATCGTGATGGACTGCGCAGGTTGTGCAAAGCCCAGAGCTGCGCTACGTTTCCTTGATGTCGTCGGCGTTTGCAAATGGCGGGGTGAAGTACCTAGCAAGCGGAGGGGAGATCGCCGTGCAGGGCGGGGCGGAGGTGACGCCATCTTGCAGGTGGGATGCAGTGTCTTCGACTCGGACGTGGCAAGAGCTGGACACCCGAACAACACCGCGACGGCCATCTTGGAGACGACGATAGAAGACCAGCACAAAACACCGCACTCGAGGTCGAACGTGATTGCGGAGATGGCCCCGCCAACGAACCGCGCCGAGATCCTCGCACGGCTGCGCACCAACGCAGCCAATGGCAAATCCATCGTTGGAGCGGGTGCAGGTTAGCCTGGCTCCCTCCCTCTCCCTCGCAGGCCTGGCGGGAGGCCTGGGCCGGCGGTGCTGACTGCTCCAATTGCAGGCATCGGCCTGTCCGCCAAGTTCATTGAGAAGGGCGGCGGAGACCTCATCATCATCTACAATTCCGGGAGGTTCCGCATGGCCGGTCGAGGCTCGGTATGGGCTTCCCCTGTGTACCAGGCTTGGGTGGAAGCTGACCAGATGTTGCGGAGAGAAGCTGGCCGGCCTGATGCCTTACGGAAATGCCAATGATGTTGTGCTTGACATGGTAAGCCGAGGCCCCTTCTCCACCGCCAGCCAAGAAATCCTTCCGCAATTAGTCGAAACACAACCGGCCTAGGGCATGATGGCTACCTCTATAGTGACCAGATGGGCTCTGAGCGCAACCAACAGTGGCTGACCCAGCAGCGGCCAGGCCAAGGAGGTTCTGCCCGTCGTCGAGCACACGCCGGTGCTTGCTGGCGTGTGCGCGACGGATCCGTTCCGCTCAATGCCGGCCTTCTTGAAGCAGTTGCAGGATATTGGGTTTGCGGGAGTGCAGAATTTCCCGACAGTAGGTTCGCCACGCAAGGGTGCCCCTGACGCGCTAGGCGAAGCCGGCTCACCATGTCTGCATCAGGTCGGGCTCGTCGACGGCCAGTTCCGCCAGAACCTCGAGGAGACGGGCATGGGGTTCGACGTGGAGGTGGAGATGATCAGGACGGCGGGCGAGATGGGGCTGCTCACCACGCCGTACGCCTTCAACGTCGGCGAGGCAGAGAAGATGGCGCGGGCGGGAGCCGACGTTCTCGTTGCGCACATGGGGTTGACGACGGCCGGGTCGATCGGTGCCCAGAGCGGCAAGAGCCTTGACGACTGCGTAAAGCTGATCCAGGAGATGCGCGACGTCGCGGCCGGCATCAGTCCGGACGTGCTCGTGCTCTGCCACGGTGGCCCGATCGCGCGACCGCAAGATGCGGAGTACGTCCTCAGCCGGACGAAGGGGGTGCACGGCTTCTACGGCGCGAGCAGCATGGAGAGGCTGCCGGTGGAGGAGGCCATCACGAGCGTCACGCGCGAGTTCAAGGGCGTCCGGACGGGGTGACGGGGGTGTGTGTTTAGCAGCGCAGCGTGGAATCACAGAATCGCAGACGAGATGATGGTCCCTGAATCGGCGCTATAAGCACGGGGTGCCTCCCATACGCCCCCCGAGTGCATGACGGATTCGCGCGACCGACCGGATTGATAAAGATCGGCCGCCGTGGGCGCCCTAGGTAGGCGGACCGTTTGTGGGGTAGAGGCGCGCAGCGCCGTGTCGCAAGGCGGATCGGTCGTGATTCGACCACATCGCCGTCGGCGCGCTGGCTGCTGGCTATAAGCAGGCTGGCAGGGCCGCACACCGCTGCGCGGCTGCGGGTGATTGGCAGATGCGCGAGCTGCAGCCTTACCAGCGCATGGCCGAGGCCGCCCGGGGCAAAGCGCAGTTGGGGCGACGGCGGGCTGTGGCTGGGCCGCTAGCTGATGGCTGCTCGACGACGTTTGAGACGCGCACAAAGACAGCGCTCGCGGGCTCAGGGCCCGGCTGCCGTTGGGCGGGCGATTCGCGAGCCCGCCGGCCGCGGGCGCAATCACAGCCGCCGCTGCAGCGGAGGCAGCGCTCATTTCCCAGCGCCGCACCGGGCAGCCCTTGCAATATCGCCGTCTGTCGCTTGTCGCTTCGCTGCGCAGGCTGGTCGTGCGGTCCACGGCGCCGACTGTGCTGCTGCAGGGCCCTGCCATTGCCGCCGCCGTGCGCGCCAGGGATCGGTGGGCGTCGGAGAGCTGGCGCATCGACGGCGCGGGCGGCGCGCGCGCTGATTGGCCGGGGCCTTGTCCGGGCAGGCCTCTGGGAACAGCCGCAGCCCGCTGCTAGGCTCCGCCGGGCCTGGCGCCGCAGCATGGCGACGAGCATCGAGCACGAGTGTGTGGCCGCGCTCTCAACTGTGCAGCAGCCCTCAGCAGCCCTCAGCAGCCCTCAGCAGCCCTCAGCAGCCCTCACGACCGCGCCCGCTCTCTCGAACCCGCTGCCGCCAGCGCGCCCGTTGCGACCGGGGGGGGGGGCCCGGCGTGCCCGCAAATCCGCGACACTCTGCCCGCGCCTGGCACGCTGGAGTTGTTTGCTGTACGCGTGCGGCCAAGCGTCACGAGTGCCTGCGTGCTGCTCCAATAAGCCTGCGGGGCGCCAGCGATCAGAGCGCAAGCCGCTTCACACCGTCAGTCCCAGCCCGTCATCTGCCAGCAGGGCCAGCCCGCCAACTACACCGTATCAGCGCGCCTGTCTCGCCGAATAATCCTCGCCTCCCTCTCTCCCTCCCATCGCCTTCACCAACGCTACGAGACGAGCCGCAGAGGCGAGTCCGTGCCTGCTACCGCCTCGTTGCCCTTGGTGCTACGTGCGCCCAGTCCTTCCTTCTCTCCCCGGCTCCAGCACACTAGCAGGCATTGCTTCGCACGCCGCGCCCAAGCCACAGCCTCACTTGCTCTCCCATCTGCACGTCGCCCCGGCTCGCCGCTCCTCCTCTGCCACGACACTCCTCGCCCGCCAACCCTCGCCGCGCGCCCGCCCTTGACTCCAGCCGCTTGCCTCCCCCGAGCAGACGCGACTGTGCATGGTGCCCGTCGCCTGACCTCCAGCCTAGCTACCGCTGGCTGCCTGGCTGCATCGCCGCTCGATCAGCCCAGCTGGTAGCCTTCTATCGCGCAACCTTCGACCACACCTCGCCCGCACCCGACTCTCAGCGTCGTTCGCGCCGTCGCTCCCCGAGTTCCCACTACCGTGCGAGCCTCGCTCGACACCAGCCCCGGACTGGCTTTGCGCTTCCTCCGCGCGCTCGTTTCGGCCTTTCACTTGGTCAGACCTGACAGCCAGGCCCTGGCTTCCGAGGAAACATGAACGCACAAAACTTTGGCACTATGATGGGTGCGCAGCAGCAGCACCCGCCGCCGCCGCAACACCAACGCCTGCAGCAGGTCATACTCACCCAACTGCGAAATTCGCATCGTCCCACACCCGGGCAGTGGCAGGCCTCCCTGAATGCGGAGCAGCGTGCAGGCATGCTTTGGAACATGTAATCCATCCTCGCACTTTCTCCCCGACTTTCGGTCGCTGACAGTTTCCCTAGCTATACCGCAATAAGGCTGGCAAAGCCCGACGTGCCAGACCAGCAAGTTCTACAGATGGCTTTCGGGAACGAGAATGAGCGCTTCGTCAAGGCTCAGAGTAGAGTGAGTTACGAGCGTGTCTGTCGCTTCTTACTGTGGTACTGACGCTTCCCAGGAAGAATACATCAAGGCCGTGAAGGACCTGTTGACGCGCCTGCAGAGCATGCGCCAACAAAACATGCAAGCTGTGCAAGCATCGCTCATGCATCCCGGCACCAATGCTCCAAACCCCCAGGCCGGCATGATGCCCCAGACTCCGATGCAGCCTAGTGGATCAAACCAAGGCCAGAATGCATTCCAGCAACCATTTCCTCCTCAACTGCAGCATCAAATGCAGGCTTCACCGCTGCCCATGACCCAGAACCCGTCATCTATGGGCATGGAGAACCCCGGCCTTCAGCCTCAAGCTCAGCAGCAAACCATGCAGCAGCAAATGCCTAGAGGGCCCCAGCAATTCACTCCAGAGGAACAGCAGAGGCTCGAGGCCATGACAAGAACATTACGGCAAAGGATGACACCGGAAGAGGAGGCACGGATCAGGGCCCAGATTGCGCAGTTACCTCCCGAAAGGCGGCAAATGTTGGAATCGCGAGGCGTGGACCCGGTCATGCTTCATTGCCGAAACCGAGCGCAATCGATTCTTATGAACATGAAGAAAGGCCAGCCGATGGGGCAAGGTGGCCAGTTTGGGCAGCAGCAAAACCAAGGTATGGGTCGAGGAGCACCGAACCAAGGAATGATGCAACGGACCCCTCAAATGGGCAACGTACAGCCTCAACAGGGCGGCATCCCAGGAAACGCCGACTTTGACTTCGCCCAGCTCTCCAATCAGCAAGCAGATGCCATGCGCTCTGCCCAAGCAGGGCATGACGTGGTTCCTGCAAGCAACAACGCCAACCTGAATCAGATGGGCGGTTTCAATCCCATGGGTGGCGGACAACCTGGACAAGTAAACGGCCAAGGCATGGCGCCTGGCCAGAACAGAAATCCTGGCCAACAACCTCCGTTCAGTATACAGCAGGCGCAGCGAGAGAATGCGATCCGGCAAATGCAGGCACAGGCCGCGCAGGCGCAAGCGCGTGGCCAAGGCGTCCCTCAATCGCAAGCACAAGCCCAGCAAATGGCTCTCCGCAACCAAATGGGCGGCTTCAACATGGGACCAGGCCAGCCTCAGAACGGCGCGATGCCGATGCTAACTCGACCGATGGTACCGCCGGGACAGCAAGGGAACGCAACACCGCAACCGAGGCCGCAGCAACCCGGTCAGCAGATGCCCCAAGGTATGGGTCAAGGGATCAATGCCGCACAAGCCGTCCAAATCGCGCAACAAAGAGCTGCGGCCGCTCAAGCTCAAATGCCCGGGGCCCCGCAAGCCTCTCGAGCAAGCCAGATTCCCGCCGACGTCCCACTCCCTATCAGGTCGAAAATGATGGATCTTCCCGACGAGCAATTCCGCATTGTTCTTGGAAGATGGATTACTCAGAAGCAACAAGGTGGCTGGGCAGGCAATGCGAACGTTTCTCAACCAGGCCAACAGATGACTCCACAGGCCCTGCAAGGTGGTCAGCCAGGAGGCCCTATGGGCATGGGACAGAATTTCCTGCAACAGAACCAACAGATGGGGATGATGAACCCTGCTCAAATGCAACAGCGTCTCCAGCAAGAATTGCTTCGAAGACAGCAACACCAGCAGAACAGCCCCGCTCTGAACCCTCAAGTCCTTCAGCGCATGGATCAAACCGCCTTCCCTCCAATGGTAACCCAGAGCATGAGAAATCAAGGAGTCAATTTGCCGGATAACATCAGGTCTTGGGGCCAGCTGAAAGAATGGGCGTCCAGAAATCCCAGCGTCATCTCCATGGACAAGTTGAGCGAATTCCAGCGAGCCCAGTTCGAGAGGATGACGCAACAGGCTCAGCAGCAAGCACAGCAACAGCAGCAGGCGAACAATGCAGGCATGCACGGACTTCCTGGGGGATTGCCAAATGGAGCCGGTGGCGCTCTTGGCCCTGGCCACCCGAACGGGCAGGCTCCTCAAGCGCCAATGATGGCCGGTGCAGGCGGAAACCACGCGCAGATGCATCAACAGATGAGCATTGCCACGCAACGCCAGCGCGTTTTTGCCCTTGCTCAGCAAATCTCACCGCAGGACATCCAGAGGATCAGGCAACAGCAAGGCCCAAAGGTCGCCAACCTGTCAGACGACGCATTGAGGCAGCAGATTGCGATGATTCGGCTGCAACAGCAGAGACAGTTGCAACAGCAGGGTCCGCAGCAGGGCATGATGCCACAGGTACCTGGTGGCGGTCTCGCCATGCAACCGGGGGCAAATCTGCAGCAACCGCAGCGACCTGGTCAGCCTCCTCAGCCCCAGGCCACTCCTCAGCCGAAGCTTGCACAGCAGCCCCAAGCGCCTCAGAGGCCTGGACCGCAGCCTGGTCAAGCACCGAACGCTATGCCCAAGATGCCGCCCCAGAAGGGTGTCAAGAGACCGTCGAGCGACGATGTTGTCGAAGTTCAAGATCCTGCCAAGAACCAGGCCCCGCCCATGCAGCCATCCCAGTCGCAGCAGCGGCAACCGCCCATAAGCAAGGAGCAATTCGCCTCGCTGAACCCGCAGCAACAAGCCGCCGTTCGCCAGTCTATGCTTCAAGCCGCTCAAGCACAAGGCAACAGGCAGGCTCAGGCTGTGGGCAATAACGCGCAGGGCCCTGCTCAGCAGGAAGCGCTGAAACGACAGTTCTCCGCCATGATGCATGAGACTATGAAGAACATGGATACCAAACAGCCGATTCAGGATCTCTCGCAGGGAGTGAAGGAGCAGATGGCGGCTGAAGTGCAGAAGGCTCTGACATGGATCAACAAGCTTGACTCGATCATGTTCGTGGACTGGCTCAAACATCGGGACAATGATCGCGCAAAGAACATCATCCAAGTCGTAAGTTGAATTATCCAAGTGACGAATAATGATGCTGACTTGAGCCAGCGCCACTTGTTGAATACCCAACTGGATCCTCAAACTAGGAGACTCAAGGACAACGTCTCTATACCCCCTGGGACGCTCCAGAAGTTGCTCAACCACATCAGCTCCTACATCAGGAGTGTTGTTAGCGAGAACCAGAACCATAGCGACAAGACTCAGTCCCAAGCCAATGGGCAGGAAGGAGCCCAGCAGCAACAGCCAGGCGCTGCAACCACCCAAGGTGGGCAGGGGGCGGAGCTCAATGCCGTCAACTTGGAGAAGCTGCGACAGGAGCAACTGCAACGGTCCCGTGCGCCTTCCAACGCTGGGGTCAAGCCGCCAGCCGCTCCAACTTCTGCTCAGCCACCGTTCTCGTTCGGTGGTGGCCAGTCTCCTAATGGTGCTCCCCTTTACGCTCCTAACGCTGCGAACCCACTTACTCCGGAGAAGCTCAAGCTGCCGCAAAACAAGAAGAGGAAGACGGCCCCCGGCATGTCTGCCACATCTACACCGAGCCAGACCCCCGTTCAGACAACTTCGCCATTGGTAGGCAATAAGCCATCTCCGGAGATGACCAGGCGCGAGGGTCTTCAACAACAACAAGCGGTACCCGCGAAGCCACGCTTCCTCTGTCCGCACCCCGCTTGCGACCACAGTGCGAGGGGCTTTGAGACGAAGGATGAGCTCGAGAACCATGTGAAGGACGCGCACGCCAAGGTGGAGGATCCCCTGCAGTTTGCCATCGACGCCGTCAATGAGGGGCTGGGTCTCAATCCCGATGGAACCGCAAAGCCGAAGGCAGAAACCAACGCTGTCCTCCGCGGCAAGCCGGCACCTCCGATGCCGAAGCAGCAGCTTGCCACAAAGCCCGGTCAGACTCCCCAGATCAAGGCAGAGGCGGGTACGCCTGCTACAGGCGCAGGAGCTACTCCAATGAATCGTGTCCCAACGCAGAATGGTATCAAGAACTCGCCGTCAGCCAGCTTCAAGGTTTCCCAAATGGCTGTCAAGGGCCAGACTCCTGGCTCTAGCGGCGCTCCGGCCATGCACCGAACGCCCAGTAAGGCTGCGAAGGACACAAACAAGGCTGCTGACGTCGCCATGGAAGATCAATCGGCCCCGAAGCCGCCGGGGAACCCTTGGGACGAATGTCCGATTTCTTCAGATCAGCTGCAATTCATGTTCGCTGATGAGGACGTCGCCAAGGCTATGCTCGAGCTACCCAACAGCGCATTCATAGCAAAGGAGGATTTGGAGCGAGAAGAGAGGCAGAAGAACAAGGAGAAGGTAGAGCCTCGCAGCACGACCCCTGCTACTACTCCTTCCCCAGCTTCGACTAAGGATTCCAAGGAGACGGGCAGCAGCGACATCAGCGAAAACGACAAGCTCAACATCACCATCGCGAGCGACGATGCCGAATGGAACAAACGTGCTATGGACGCGGATGTGGATTTCAGCAGCATGATGGACTCGCTTTTCGTGCTCGACGAATCCAACAACATGACGGTCCCGCAAAACGAGGACAATCAAGAGATGGTCGGCCCGTACGGCTTCTGGCGAGACAGCCTCGGCCCGGCCAACGACAAGCTTCCGGGCTGGGACGCGGCCGATCTTGGCGCATCCTACGACTTCTTCAACGCCCCTCCTGCCCCTACCAACGAGCAGGACCTCAAGGACTTGTTCGGCATCACGAGCGGTATGGATGGTTTCGAAGACATGGGTATGGTGGGCTAGGCATGAGTAATGGCCCAAAGTGTTTGCGGCCATCTCTCGCTTGCCATGAGGGCTTCCTCAATTTTTCTTTTCGGGTAGATCTTAGGTTCTGCCACTTTCCATTTCGCTTCTTTCTGCACATCAAATTACGACCTTCTTCCTTTGTGTTTTCTTTTTGGGCTCATTCTTGGAGTAACGCTGTCGCTTCTTTCGATTTGCACCCGTTGTGGACAAAAAGAATCTGGTATTTGGATCACTGGCTACGGCCACAAGAGAAGGCGTAAATAGCGGGTTGCTTGGTTTACCAGGGTTTCTATCGGGGTTTCGGCTGGAGCTCTTGGTTTCCTCGGGTTGGCTCAATTGAGCCTCATCATACCGGCACTGGCGTATTTTTGCGGGATTCCCCTGTTACTTTTTTGGTTTTTTTTTTTGGGCAAGTTCAGCAGGCCGTTTCTTCTCTTTTCTGACTGGTCCACACTTTCTTGTGTCTGTACTTTGTGTGGGCGGAGTTTTTGCTCCGCCAGCTCCCAAACAATACCCCAACGCATTTCCTCTCCTTGGTTGATTACACGGTGTTGCAATGGTGATGGCCATTTACTTTGCTTCTTTTCCACACGGACCAAAGAAAAAGGGCATAAGATGCGGACGCCGGAAGCGAATGAACTCTTCACGATGTTTCTTTTTGTTGTGTGGTGGTATACTACTCTCGCAAAGCGCGCGACGGACGAGATAAAAAAGCGCCAATTTCTTGTGTCAAACTCTCTGGGTGCGGCGGTCCACTTTCAATCAAGCACATTAAACACCTTGCAACTCTTTCGGGCGCAAATACCGTACATCGTGATACACCGACTCCGTGGCACACACACACGAACACCTGCCTGATCCCTTCGTCCCCGGAGCATCCCGAGCTATAAATATACCTACCTACGCACACACACACCTTTTTAGAAACACACTCATCAGCGATGCAAACATTTGGTTTCCTCCCCCGGCCCAACCCGGGGAGGAGTCTCGGACCACGCCACCAATGGGCCCCCCCCC